GTCGAAGGGATGGGTCAGCAAGAGGGATGGGGGGACAAATGCATCTGATTGAGTGGCTGCCACAAACTGGCCATCAGGCTGATATAGGCCAGCTAGTCCTGGGTTACTGGCATGAAATTACGGTTGCTCAATAACATACAGGATGCCCAGTTAAATTAGAATTTCAGATAAACATTAAATTTTTTTAACATCCCTAACATCACCCTATCCGGTGTGGCTCAGTTGGTTGAGCATCATCCCATGCACCCAAAGGTCACCTGTTCTATTCCCAGTCAAGGCACATGCCCACGTTGCAGGCTCGATCCCTGGTAGGGGGCGTGCAGGAGGCAGCCGATCAATGTGTCTCTCTCACACTGATATTTCTCTCCCTCTCTATCTTTCCCTCCCACCGTATCTGAAGAGAAATAGAAAAATATCCTCAGGTGAGGATTAAAAAGAAAAAAAACTCCATTACCTTGGTGAACACACAGTACAGTGTACAGATGATGTTCTGTAGAATCGTGCCCCTGAATCCTATACAATTTTATTAACCAACGTCACCAAAAAACAAAAAACTCCATTACCTGACGTCATAAGGACATTTCCATATGTTTTGTTCCAAAAGTGTTCAGGTTTCACCTGGAATTGTTTCTGTGAAGGTGGTGGCAGTGACCCATTTGCACCTGCTCCACATGGACTGCGTGGCCCATGCTCTCCTTACCATGTGCAATGGCATCACTGTCGAGTTGGCCTCTGTGCCCCACGCACGTGCCCACATCCTTCAGTCTGCACAGGCCGCTTCTCCGCCTCTGAGAAGCTTGACTCAAATCAACCTAACTCTCTCTCTCACTAGTGGTGAGTTCAGGCAGGTTAACATCACCTGTCTCAGCCTCCATCCTTCAATGGTCATGGCAAAATATGCCACAGGAATGGATTTCTGGTGAGGATTTGGCCAGATAATGCCGGAAGGGCTACCGTGGTGCATGGCAGGTAGGGGGCCGTGTACTCTGCACCTGTTGTTAAGACGACCTCTGTGTCCCCGGAGCGGGCACAGGGCAGGGCCAGGGAGTTGAGGGATGGGCAGAGGACAAACACACGGCCCGGAGAGACTACACCCCTGAACTTCACCACCCAGGCAGCCCCTTTTGTCCTTCTTCCCACTGCCCTTCATGCAGACCATCCTGGTTCCTCGCTGGCTGTCCCTTACCCGAGAGATGGCCCCATCCTCCTCTGTGAGGCTGAGCAGGGCAGGGGCCTCCCCTCAGGATGTGGGTGTTCCTGGCTCAGCCTCCCCTGGGCAGTTGTCCCGGCCTGGGCTGGGGCCCTCTCCCTGCGGTCATCCCAGGTGAATGAGTGCACATCCCCCTGGTAGAAAGGGCTCTGCTCACCTGTTCTTCCAGCCTTTGGTCCCACACAAGTCCTTCGGGGAGGTGGCTTTGAGGGCTTCTCCGCCTCCTGCAGACAGACCGCCTCGGGACCCCTGCCCGCTGTCCGTGGGGCAATCCCTCCGCAACAGAGCTGCCTGGGGCCCCATGCCCCTGACCTGAGCCAGCAGGGGGTGATGGGAGGGAGGCCTGAGGCCTTTCCTTGACGATCCCCTGACTCTGCAGCTCTTTGGGGCCATTGAGAGTGAACAGCACAAACGAATCTTCACCATCGTCACCAGGACCAGCGTGGCCCAGCGTGGCCCAGCGTGGCACTCACGAAAACCGGACAGAGACAGGGAATGTGTGCCATTCGTTCCCTGTGTGTGCCTCTCTCCAGTGGGCTTGCTCCCGACCTTAGATCAGCCCTTTCCCCTGATAACCATATTGCATCATCTAGCACTGCACCAAGTGACCCAGCACCTAGGACACACTTGTCAGCTCTGCAGTTGGGGTAGGTCGGGAATTTGGGTGCAGAGTGGCTCTCAGTCGGGGTCTCTCTTGAGGCTGGGGTCAGACATCAGCCGGGGCTGGGGCCTCATCTGAAGGCTTGGCTGGGGCTGGGGACCCACTTCCACTGATTCACTCCTCATGGCCGCTGGTGTGGCCGCTGGCTGGGGCCCCCTCTGCCGTGCGCTGCTGCTGACATCACAGGGTCAGCCCTGCTCAGGGTGGGCACGGCCGCACGGGTTCGAACCACTGGGAAGTGACTGCCACGAGGCCACCTGGGAGGGCTGCCACAGCATGTTTCTTCCTGAGTGTCACCCCCTGGTGGAGACACCCTCTCAGGAGGAGAGGACTCTCAGCCCCAGTCCCACTTTGCAGCCACACCCCTGACTTCCTTCTGAGTCACCTGCCAACACTCTCACCTTTCAGGTAGTGCCCTGGGCCTGCCGCCTACTGCCAGCATTCACCTCTGCCTTCTTAGCTCATTTTTATTTCTATGTATTTACTTATTTTTATTCTCACCTGAGGATATTTTTTTATTTAGCTTCAGGTAGAGAGAGGAGAGAAAGGGGGAGAGAGAGAAACATCGACGTGAGAGGGACACATGAACTGGTTGCCTCCCACACGACCCCGGCGGGACGAACCGCGGCAGAGACACGTGCCCCTGGCTGGAATCAGACCTGGAACTCATTGGTCCGCAGGCTGATGCTCTGCCGCTGAGCCAAACTGGCCAGGTCTCTAAGCTCATTTTTAAAAGTATTTTATTTTTTAAAATTTGTATTGATTTTAGGGGGGGGGGAGAGAGACACACAGATGTGTTGTTCCACTCATGCATGCTCTCATTGGTTGATTCTTGTAGGTGCCCCGACTGGAGACTGAACCCGCAACCTCAGTATCAACCAACTGAGCCACCCAGCCAGGGCTTCTTAGGCCATTTCTGTTCAGCAGGAACCTGGGTGTGGGTCCCCAGGCCCAAATGGGGTCTTACTGCCAGGCTCCTGGCTCAGGGGTGTCAGTGAGGGAAGAGCTGAGCTGGGGGTGATGGCAGGTGCTGTTCTTCCCCACCTGAGCTGGAAGCGCCGATGGCCCACCTGCCGCAGGCCATTGTTCCTCAGGAACTCCACCTGCACATCCTGTAGTCTCCCCACCTTGTGGAGGGAAAACCGGGTCTCCGAGAGGCTCGGCGATGTGCAGTGTTGACAGCTCATGAGCCAGCATGGGACCAGGTGCCTCTGAGACATCAGCCGCCACCCTCTGTCACCTGATGGGTGGACGGTTCTGAGCCTCGGCGATGGTGGCTGCTGGCAGGAGCAGACAGACTTGTCTGCACTTGGTCTGTGGGCCTTGGAGGGAGCCGCACCTGCATGGAGCTGGGCTGGGTGGGGCTGTGCTGGGGGTGGCTGTCGCCAGGGTTTGTTATGAAGGTGAGAGTGTGCTCCTCAGTGACTTGTTTGTAGACCTCTTCACATCTCGGATGGAAAGGAGGTGAAAGTGGGTAGCATCTCCCAGCCTACGCCCCTGTCAAACTATTCAGGGGAACCGAGGGAGGGAGGGAGTCCCCTGTCCCGCTGCTGTGGGAGCCTGTGAAGACAGGTACCCGCCGGGAGAGGTCAGCGTGGGACGAAGAAATCAGCTGTGGCCCTTTGTGGATTTCATTTGTCACACCCACGAGGTCCCGGTGTGCACAGTGCTGTCCCCAGGAGACCTCTACAGTGACTAGCCCTATGTGTCAGTGAGGAAACCAATGTCCAGGGAAATGGCTTTGCCTGTAAGGTTGGATAAAGAAGCCACCATTTCAATGTGGTCGAAATTTGTGATCTGAGCCTTGTAGTACTTCTTTATGTCCGTACGTCCTTTCTCCCAGTGGGTGCTAGGAGGGTGGGTCTGGCGGGAGTGGTCCTCACAGGGCTTCACCCCTGGGAACACCTTGAAATAACCCATTTTCTGGAGGGGGCTCTCAGATTTCCAACCATCTGTGGCCATTTTCACTGTCCCTGGCCAAGAAGACCCCGAGGCAGAAGGACGCCTCGGGTGGTTGTCTCTGACAGTTGTCGGGCCCTTCGTCGCAGCCTGAGGGCCGCTGCCTGTGTGACCGGGCTGGAGGCACCACTCAGGTCCCCTCGATGCCCCTCTCTGAGGGTTTCAGTGGTGAGTACCCGGAGTTTTGCTGAGAAATGCCCCCCAAGGGGGGTGCAGCCTCCAGCCTGGAGCCACTGGGGGGGGGGGGGCAAGCTTTCACAAGCTGGGCGTGACGATGCGGAAGAACACATGCCTGTCACTCGGGCCGGGCCGCCTGTGAAAACCAGCAACAGGAAGTGAGCCCTGCTGCCCTGGAAGTCCGCCGAGAGGAGGCCGAGCCCGGGGGCAGGTGAGTGGTGCTGGGCCCAGGCCTCTGCCGGCCGGCCCTGCAGGGACTTTGGGGTCGGGAACGTTCAGAGAAGCTGTGCTTGGGGACTTGTCTTCAAGGCAGGAAGCGCTCGTGGTGGCCCTGTGCGGTGCCTGGTTTCAGTCCCTGGTCTTCCTGTGGTGACATTGTTTGTTGAAAGTCGGGTTCTTGTGCAACAGGAAGGGTGCAAACACCTTGTAAGTGCCGAGTGCTGGGGGCATCCGGGGTGTCTCAGTCTCTAAAAAAGATGATGCTGAGCCCAGGAGGGGCCAGGGTCCCTGCGGCTGATCGGATGCAGGAGACCCCGCTTCAGCCTGGCTGGCGCACCTGCCAACAGCCCAGTTCCACTCCTGTCTCCCAGGGCTCTTTGTGTCTTCCTTGCTTGAGCCAAGGAGGCGTGGATGGGCCCAGACACAGTCCCCAGGTGCCCATGTGGCTCTAGAAGGTTCTGCCGTCTGATGCTGCAGGCAGGGCTTGTCTACGGTAGTGCTGCTAGGAAAGAGGGCAGAGCCCCGCTCTGGCTTTGGGCCGCTGCTCCAGCAGCCTCGCTGTCCTGTCTGTGGAGTGGGGCCCAGGGGTGCCAGGCTCCGGCTGTGAGCACAGCGCCGCTAGGCTGGGCGGCTCAGCACCCAGGGCCCACGAGCTCTGCCGTCTTAGAGGAGAGGAAACAGGCACACGGTGCCCACGGCTTGCCCGGACTGCCCAGACCCAAGCCCCGAGCCCACAGCGGGCTGGGATGGGTGGGGCGGGTGCAGAGGAAGGAAGTGTGGAGGGAGGAAGTGGCTTGTCTCCAGGGAGGTAGTTGTTGGAGGCCGAGGCCCTGTTCTGCTCCTTGGGGCTCGGCCGACATTTTCCTCTGCACAAAGACCAGCACCTCCTAAGGCGCGGCGGCTCCTGAAGCGGGACGGTGCGCCCCACACGCGACGCCTGGATTGCAGCCCGTCTTCGAGGGCAGAGCTGGGATGCAGTGCTCAGTGAGTCCGCAGAGGACGGGGGGCTGTGCTGCCCGGGCCCCTCGTGAGCAGGTCACAGGTCCCTAGACGCAGAATAGTGACCACAGGGGCGGGAGCTCTGCCTGGCGGTGTCCTCTCTCCCAGCTCCAGTGGGCTCTGATGACCCCCACATGACAGTTGGAGAAACTGAGGCTCCAACACAGAGAGGATGAGCTTCTGAGTCAAAACGCAGTCTTGGGGCAGTGCCGGTCATAGGACAGAGGTGAAACCCAGACCTGAACAAAATGCCACTGACCTTCAGGGCCCTGTCTGTCCAGCGCAGTGAGATCCATCCTGGCTCTACTGCCTGGTCCACCGCCTGCCCTCTGGGCTAACCCAGCTCACACACACTGCCAGCTCTTCAGACGGCCTGCGTCAATCTCATTTGCCATTCTGCCTTTGCCTCTGTTAGAAACATTGTTTCCTCTGTCCGAGATACTGTTCCCTCTGTCCGAGATACTGTTCCCTCTGCCTGGGATGCTGTTCCCTCTGCCTGGGATGCTGTTCTCTCTGCCTGGGACGCTGTTCCCTCTGCCTGGACGCTGTTCCCTCTGCCTGGGATGCCTGTTCTCTCTCTGCCTGGGACGCTGTTCCCTCGGCCTGGGACGCTGTTCCCATCTGCCTGGGACGCTGTTCCCTCCCGGGGGGGTGGGACGCTGTCTACCTCTGCCCTGGGACGCTGTTTCCCTCTCGCCTGGGGACGCTGTTCCCTCTGCCTGGGACGCTGTTCCCTCTGCCTGGGACGCTGTTCCCTCTGCCTGGGACGCTGTTCCCTCTGCCTGGGACGCTGTTCCCTCTGCCTGGGACGCTGTTCCCTCTGCCTGGACTCTGTTCCCTCTGTCCTGGGATGCTGTTTTCCCTCTCTGTCCTGGGATGCTGTTCCCTCTGCCTGGGACGCTGTTCTCCTCTGCCTGGACGCTGTTCCCTCTGCCTGGGACGCTGTTCCCTCTGCCTGGGACGCTGTTCTCTCTGCCTGGGACGCTGTTCCCTCTGCCTGGGATGCTGTTCCCTCTGCCTGGGACGCTGTTCCCTCTGCCTGGGATGCTGTTCCCTCTGCCTGGGACGCTGTTCCCTCTGCCTGGGATGCTGTTCCCTCTGCCTGGGATGCTGTTCCCTCTGCCTGGGACGCTGTTCCCTCTGCCTGGGACGCTGTTCCCTCTGCCTGGGACGCTGTTCCCTCTGCCTGGGATGCTGTTCTCTCTGCCTGGGATGCTGTTCCCTCTGCCTGGGACGCTGTTCCCTCTGCCTGGGACGCTGTTCCCTCTGCCTGGGATGCTGTTCTCTCTGCCTGGGACGCTGTTCCCTCTGCCTGGGATGCTGTTCCCTCTGCCTGGGATGCTGTTCTCTCTGCCTGGGACGCTGTTCCCTCTGTCTGGGACCCTACTCACTCTGTCTGGGACACTCTTCTGTCTGAGTCCCTGTCTGTGGGAGTGATGACCGGTCACACAGGTCTCCAGTGAAGTGGCTGGTGACCAACCTTACAAGTCAGCTCCAGTGACTTGGAGTCCCACGTGGAGCCCGCCGTGGCCCAGGACAGAGCTCTTGCTGGGCCGGCAAGTGGCTCTGGGCGGCGCTTTCCTTGTAGTGACCCGACAGGCTGGCGGGCAGGGGAGAGGCCTCCTGGGGAGCCAGGCCCAGGGATGGAGACCAGAAAATGGGTTTGCCCTTCCGTGACCTCGAGTTGGAGTTTTTATTTTCAAAAGCTGGACTCAGTCAGAGCACATTTTTGTATGTTGATGTAAGAGTATGTATTAGAAGGGAAACGCAGGCTGCTGGAGATGCTGAATCAATCCCTCCACTCATTTCTTCACCAAAAGGCTTACTGGGTCCTGTTTACAGTCAGAGACCATGTGAAGAAGGTGATGTTTCCACTGTTTCCTTCAGTGGCCACATCCTGGAAGGGGGTGGGAAGGCGTGTGCCCAGGCTGGGGTGTGCCGGCAGCTGGGCCAGGAGGGGCAGAGGCAGTTAGAGTTTACAATGGAAGAAGTAACCATGTAACACTGGACCTTGACTTACTCAGTGTTGACGGAGGCTGTTGGAAGTTTCCTGTCTTTTTTGTTTCATTACATTGTTAAAATAAAAAATGTACAACATAATCAAGGTAGAGAGAATCATGTGGTGAGCCCAGGGTGGCCCGCAGGGAAGGCAGCCTGAACTTCCAGAAAGAGGGAGTGAGGCTCACCTTTCCCACCCCCGGCGTGATCTGGGGTCTGGGTGCTGCGGGTCACCTGCCTTCTCTCAAAACTGTGTTATAAAAACTGTCAAATACACTGCAAGAGTCCTGGGGCTTTGCAGGGCCCACCCCGAGTTTCAACAAGCTTTGTCACACATCTAGCTACCCGGACAAATGATCTGTGTTTTCTTTTACAGGCTGTGGTTTTATTTTTACGGCAGACGTTCATGTGCGTAACAATGGACAGTGACTGACTGTGTGTATCTACTCCTTTCAAGAAAAAATAAAATAAAAACAGAAACAGAATAGAAAATAGAAGTAAAATAAATATAGATATTTTAAAACCAGAAAAGAAAAAACATATAAGTAAAAAATTACGTAAAGCCCTGGCCAGTGTGGCTCAGTGGGCTGGGTGCCGTCCATGCACTGAGAGGTTCCGGTTCGATCCCTGGTCAGGGTACATGTCCGGTTGTAGGCTCGATCCCCAGTAGAAGGCGTGCAGGAGGCAGCCAATCGATGTTCTCTCTCATCGATGTTTCTCTTTTTCTCTGTCCCTCTCTAAAATCAATGAGAAAAAAAAAAAAAATATATATATATATATATATATTTGGTACATGCCCCTAGCTGGAACCGAACCCGGGACTCTCTGGTCCGCAGGCTGACATTCCAACTGCTGAGCCAAACTGGCCAGGGCCATATTTTAAAAATGAAGTACAGCCCTGGCCAGTTTAGCTCAGCAGTAGAGCGTCGACCCGTGGACCAATGAGTCCTGGGTTTGGTTCCGGCCAAGGGCACGTACCTTGGTTGCAGTTCACCCTGGCCCTGGTCAGGGTCGTGCAAGAGGCAACCAGTCGATGTGTCCCTCTCACATTAATGTTTCTTTCTTTCTCCTTTCTCTCCCTCTCTCTCTACCTGAATATAAATAGAAAAATATCCTCAGGTGAGGATAAACAAATAAATAAATAAAGACGAGGCAGAAAGCTCCGTGCTCAGTTCCCAGGCACACCCAGAGCCCCGTGCAGAGCCCTGGACCTCCGGCCGCGGCGCCTGAGCTGCCAGCCCTCCCCGGCCGTGCTGTCCACAGGCTTCTGTCCGTCCAGCTCTGGCTCGGCTGGAGCAGAGGGGCCTGTGCTGGCAACACCATGTCTGTCTGCACACAGGACAGGCCTGGGCGGGTGGGTCCTGGGTGCCTCCTGGGCTTAAGGGGCCTTCACAGAACCATTGTGTTCATCATACAGAGAAGGAAACAGACTTGGAGAGGTTGAGCTTGTCTGGCTACCCAGCCGATGAGTGGTAAAAACAGATCAGACTGGACACAGCCTCGGACCTCTGCACTGCTGCCCCCAAACCCACAAAGCACGGCCTTCGATGTGTCCTGCAGTCAGTGGAGACTGCTGTGCCTTGTGGGACCTAAGGGGGACAGACGGGCCGGCGGGAGGAATCAGGGTGGAACCTCTCCCTGGCTGCAGTCGGCTGACCTCTGGTGTGGGTGGGGTCTCTGTGCTGCCCCTCTCCCTCCCAGAGTCCCCTCTAGCGAGCACCCATGGTCTCAGGAGTGTGATCCACGCAAAACCATCCTGGGTTCCTCGCAGTCATTCTTGAGCCTCTAATATGACCCCCAGGCTCTGCGCGGGCCCCTGAGCTGGCCCTGCGCCTCACCCATGGGGGTGGCCAGAGCCACAGGGAACGTGGGCCACATCGGCCCTCCCCGGTCTGCGCGTGGCCCACGCGGAGCAAGGCAGGCAGTGTGGGCCTCAGCCACGGGCCAGGGTCGTGGGCTCCCAGGGGTGTGCGGAGAGAAGGCCGGGCTCGAGGCCCAGGGGACGGGTTACAGGGTAGGGGGTGAATTTTAGGCGCTTTGGAGTGATCTTGGCACTAATTCCCAGAACTTCTGATGAGAACATTTCTGAAATGCATTCTTCTTTTTAAAGCTCTTAAAAATTGTGCTGAAATACACACAACATAAAATCTTCCGTCTAAACCACTGTCAGTGTCCGGTTCACATTAAATCCACTCAGGCTCTTGTGCAGCATCCCCTCCATCCCTGCAGAGCTCTCCACAGGCTCTGGCGTGGCCCAGCGGTTAGAGTGCCAGCCGAGGGCCCAAGGGTCGCAGGTTCCATTTCCGGTCAAGGGCACATACCTGGGTCGCAGGGTCATCCCTGGCTCCGGTCAGGGACCTGCGGGAGGCAACCAATCAATGTGTCTCTCTCACGTCAATGTTTCTCTCTCTCTCTCCCTTCCACTCTCTCTAAGAATCAATGAAAAAATATCCTCAGGTGAGGATTAGCAACAACAAACAAACTAAAAGAAAACAACCTGAAACTCTGTCCCTATCAAGCACAGAGTCCCTGCTCCTCCCCACCATCCTACCCTATCTCTGTGATTTGACTCCTCTAGGGAGCTCCTATAAGTGGAGTGAGGAAATATTTGTCCTGTGACTGGATTATTTCACTGAGCAAAATGTCTTTTTTTAAAAAAAATTTTTTTCCTTTATTGATTTTAGAGAGAGAGGAAGGGAGAGGGAGAGAGAGATAGAAATATTGATGAGAGAGAACATCGATTGGCCGCCTCCTGCATGCCCCGCATTGGGGATCAGGCCCACAACCTGGGCATGTGCCCTGACCGGGAATCGAACTGGTGACCTCTTGGTGCATGTCCACGCTCAACTAGTGAGCCACACCAACCAGGCGCAAAATGTCTTCAAGTGTCTCCCACATTGTAGCACATGTCAGGATCCCCTCCTTTCTAAGGCTGAATAAGATTCCATTGTCTGTATTCACCACATTGATCCGTCTCCTTTCCTCCCTCCTTAGCTGGCCCTGCTGCCTCCTCTCACCCAGAGGCCCTTCTGACCTCCGCCGCACCCCAAAGTGAGGCACCTCATGGCATCTCCGTCCACGTTCATGTGCTCAGCACACAGGATGGACGCCCGAGGTTGTGCTGGCTGCAGCCAGAGTGCTTCCCATGCTGGGACCCCAAGGCAAGTACTGTGCTTCCCAACCCGGACCCTGGAGGGAAGTCCCCTGTTCTGGATAACATGGCGGCTCTGCTGACCGGCCCTAGGTCGTTCCGTCAGGCCTTTCTCACTGCGGACACAGCCTGGCCCGTGTGTCGGTGTGATGGACAGGTTCCTGGGGTGCCCCTGTCACTTTCACTATTGTTTAATTACCCCCTGCGTGCAACCAACCGCCTGAACTTGGCGGAGTAAACAGCAACCCCAATGAGGTGCACCTGAGCATCTCTCGCTCAGGGCACCTCTGGGCTGTTGCCAAACAGGGCTGGGGCAGTTCCAAAGGCTTCTCTCAGGAGGCTGCTGCAGGCCATCAGCTGGGGACTCATGTGCCAAGGCCACTGGGCCACATCAGTGACCAGACGAGGAGTTCCCTGCCTGTTCTGGGCCTCCGGGGTGCCAGGTGACAGGCAGGACATGAGATGGGTGTGGTGGTGGTTTCAGCAGGGGACCTGTACTGCTCCCCAGGAGACGTCTGGCAGCAGGTGGAGCTGTTGTGAGCCATCTCAGGGTCCATCTTTTGGACAAGCAGGCACTGAGCAGTGTGGGGACTCCAGGACAGAGGTCACAGCATCTGCCTCCCCCTCACTGTGCATGGAGCCACTTAAATGGTTCACGATGCCCTAGAGGGTGGGGTACATTTAACGTCTCCACATTTCTGCCGTCCCGGCACCTCCCCCAGGCTGAGTTCTGCAGCACCCACACAGCTCACCTGGGGTTGGCACACCTGGGGTTGGCGTACCAGGGCTCAGCTCATCTGGGCATGACTCACCTGGGCTGAGCTCACCTGGGGTAGGGAGTTGCCAGTCTCAGCTCTGACAGCTCAGGGCTTCTAAAGGGAGAGCTGAATGGGCAGGTAGAGAATTCTTCAGCACCTGCCTGGTGACACACCCCTTGTCCTGGGCATGTCAGAGTGAGCTCAGACCCAAGTCTGGAGGTTCAGAGCAGCATGTCTGGTGGGCCCAGGGCCTGGGGGCTGTTTTCCTCCATACCAGTGACTGACTGAGAGAGCAGACAAAAGTGCACAGCGTGGCTTCTGGCATATGGTGTGTGTGTGTGTGTGTGTGTATACATGCATGTGTGCATGTGTATACATGTGCATATGTGTGTGTTGTGGAGTCATGTGTGTATGTGTAGATGTATGTGTGAGCATAGGTGCACATGTGTGTTCCCTCCCCAAACCCCTGCTCCCTTGAGCAGTGTGGAGGGGAGACTGGAGCTGTCCTGGCCTGCACCGATGCTTACTTTGCTTGGAAAAGGCAGCTGGAAGATCAAGCCTTAGCTGAAGGAGGCCATGGGCTGCATCCCTCAGCTTCCTGGATCAGATCAGGGGTGGTCTGGGCTGTTCCCTAGCTAGAACTTCTCCCTGCTTCAAGGTTCGCTCCCTGAGCCCTGGGCTCTCTTGTCTGGCCAAGAATTGTTTTGCACAAAAGTCCTTGAAAGATGGATGGTCATGGCTCAAGGGTTTCTACTGGAAGGGTGCATGCCTCTCCTTTGGGTGGAATTGTCCACATACCTTACCACCATCCTCTGCATGACTCACTATTCCTTCTGTAACAACAAAAATGACATGAGGGAATGTCAGCAACTCACCAAGTTCGCCCAGCTGAGAGGTATCACCTTCTCTTAGGCATAATCGATACACTTAACTACATGTTTAAAGTGTATGATGAAATATTCTGATATATGTATAAATCCATAAAACCTTCAGCACAGTCTGTCACCCCTTGAAAGCTCCATCGTAACCCCCACACCTCATCACACTCACCTCTTTCCAGGCAGCCCCCAGTCAGCTGTCTAACCCCACAAGTTAGTGTGCATTTTATTTTTTTTTAATATGCTTTTATTGATTTTTTTAGAGAGGGAGATAGAAACATCGATGTGAGAGAGAAACATTGATCAGCTGCCTCCTGGACACCCCCTACTGGGGACCAAGTGCTCAACCCGGACACGTGCCCTCACTGTTTATTGAACCAGGACCTCTCAGGCCATGGGACGATGTTTAATCCACTGAGCCACACCAACCGGGCTAGTGTGCATTTTCTAAAATCTTGTGTAAACACAACAACACTTGTCTGTCTGCTCTCACTCAGCACCATCATTTCTAGACTGACCCGTGCTGTGGGGGAGCACACTTCATTCCTGAGGCTCTGACAAAGGTTGTGTAGCACAGACAGCATTTCATCCTCCAATGTTCGATAGAATTCACCAGGGAAGCCATCTGATCCCGGAGTATTCTCTGTGGAAAAATGTTTTAATGTAAATATTCTTGTGCTTGGTGCTCACTAAGCTTCTTAGATCTATGGAGTTCTAGTTACTTCAAATATGGCAAAACTTTGGTTATTATTTCCTCAAATATTTGTCCTGTTCACTTCTTTTTTATTTATTTTTAAATGTTTTTCTTTATTGATATGAGAGAGAGAGGAAGGAAGAGGGAGAGAGATAGAAACATCAATGAGAGAACATCAATTGGCCGCCTCCTGCATGCCCCCCACTGTGGATCGGGCCCACAATCTGGGCATGTGCCCTGACTGGGAACTGAACCAATGACCTCTTGGTGCAATGGGTTGATGCTCAATCACTGAGCCACACCGGCCGGGCACTCACTTCTGTATGGGGACACTGATCAGAAATCTGTTATACTATGTGAAGTTTCTTGATATCTCACTAATGTCTCTCTATCTTTTTCTCTAGCCCCCCTGCCACTCTCCATTTGGGTAGCTCCTATGGTCTCTCCAAATTCATTGATTTTTCTTCTATAATATTTAATCTGCCATCAAGAGCCCCTCCCGTGGGTCTCAACCTCACACTCCAGGCTTCACCCCCGGAAGTTGATGGGTACCTTTCACATGCTCCACGTTTCTGCTGACCTTCTGAACACTCCTGAGCACGGTTCTGAGATGCAGTTAGGTTGCTCGTAGACACGCTGGCTTCCTGTTAAGATTCATCAGTATTTCTTAGGCAGGCTCCACACAGAGCTCACTGAGGCACGACCCTGCTGAGCTCTCTAATGCCCTGTGGCGCTTGGGGCTTGCAGTCTGGCTGAGGGGGACAGGCATATGCCCCACCCTCTGTGAACGCCAGGCCAGGCGCTGCTCCCTCCAGGTCCTGTTCCCCCATCTGCCCGGGAGTCTCTCCAGCCTCAGGGGCTCCGAGCAGCTGCACTGAATCTTCCTCCAGGGCCCTTCGACCTTCCTCCTGTGCTCTGTCCTGCGGCAGCAGCCGCCTTTGTTCCTGAGCTCGCAGCTCGGGCTCTGCACTCAGGTCTACCCGGGTCCCCCTTTCCAGGCAGGAAGCTGGGGTGACAGAGGGAACCTGCCCCAGTTACCCCCTCCTAGGAGCATGGTGCTTGCTTGCTGCCTGGTGCAGGGTATCTGCCAGGCTGCTGTTCCACGTCTTATCCAGGTTTTGCTTATCTCAGACAAGGGACTGAGTCCCCCTCTGTTTCCGTACCCTGCCCAGGAGAGACCCGAGCTGGAACAGGGCGGGCGGCTCCACCTCTGCTGGCAGGCAGGTGCGCACTCCGGGCCGTCCAGCCGGCCTGTTCTGCTGTGGTCTGATTTCTGGGAACCTGAGCGTCTCTCCTGGGCTATGCAGAGAATGCAGCAAAGCACTTATTTCCTGTTTAGAGATCTTAGCATTTCTCCCAAATAAGCTTGTTAAGAATGTGACAGTGGCCATGATAAATGCACTGGTCTTGGTGTCACCTAAAGATAGGTTTGCTCAGCCCGGCCAGCGTGGCTCCGTGGCTGAGCGTGACCCTGCACCAAGAGGTCGCCAGTTCAATTCCCGGTCAGGGCACATGCTCAGGTTGTGGGTCTGATCCCCAGTGGGGGGCACACAGGAGGCAGCCCATCGATGTTCTCTCTCATTGATGTTTCTATCTCTCTCTCCCTCTCCCTTCCTCTCTCTAACATCAATAAAGAAAAGAAAAAAGAAAAAAAGATAGGTTTGCTCAGCTGTAAGAAAGAGTCTCTCACCCTTTCAGACGACACAGAGGGACCTGGAGAATGTTATGCTGAGCGAAATAAGCCAGTCAGAGAAAAACAAGTACCACATGTCTCACTTGTTTATGGAACATAATGAATAAAATAAGCTGTCGATCAAAAGAGAGCCACAGACATGGAGTTAGGGTTCAGACTGATGAACCTCAAAGGGAAGGGGGTGGGTTGGCAAAGAGATAAACCAAAGAACTTCTATGCATATGTGCACAACCAATGCACACAGACAGTAGTGTGGGGAAGGCAGGAGGGGTGAGAGCAAGGACGAGGGGGCAATGGGGGAAAGAGGGGACATCTGTAATACTTTCAACAATAAAGATACACCGAAAAAAAGAGGCAGGTCTGCTCAGTAGGAGCTTGGCCCAGGAGGGGCGAGGAGGCTGCCGCAGGCTTGGAGCAGGTGCTCGGCTCCACATCCCACCGAGCACTGCCCGCAGGCCAGTGTGCTGTCCGAGGGCCCAGGCAGCCTCGGGCCTCCCTGCTGTGTGTGAGGCCCGAGCCCTGATGGCCCGTCACTGGTTAGCAAGTGAGGAGCAGAGTGTGTGGGACCCCCCTGGCACAGCGGAGTGGGCGAGCCTGGAGTGTCGGGGTGTCAAGGGGTGTCAGGGCATGGTGGTGCCGCTGGCTCTCTTCTCAATGTATGGGCTCAGTCCTCTGCAGAGGACCTGTCTCCCTATGTGGGCCTCGGTGACCAAGGACAAACTCAGTTCTGGCCTGAGAGCGTCGAGCTGGGCCCTGGGGGCTGCCCCACCACGGGGCACTGCCTCGGCGCTCGCGCTGAGAAAGCAGCGTGCTCTGTCCCCGCAGCGGGGCGATGGCGGGCAGCTGTCCCTTTCTCTCCCTCTAGGCCTGTCGCCCTGGCCACTCCAGCACCAGGGGAGGGTGTGCTCATCCTCTCTTCACGTTGTTCTAGAGCCTCCTGAGCTGCTCCGCTTCACACCCACGGGCAAGAGACTTTCAGCAATTCCCCCAGCTCTGTGTGTGGCTTTGGACGGCCAGCGCAGCCCCGGAACCTGGCCAGCGAGGAACCTGGCACCCGTCTGCCTCGGCACCCTCACCCCGAGTCTGGGCATTAGGTAAATGGCCTGTCCCTCAGGATAAGTGGTGGTGCTCCTGGTCCCTGTCCTCCTCTGCAGCTTCAGCGCGGATTTGAAAGGAAGGTTTCATGAAAGTCTGTCTCTCTTGTCCAGTCCCACCCTTGGCCCTCCTCGGGGGGACTCCCAGGCATTCTGTGCACCTAGAACCCGCCTTTCCTGAGAGCGTCTGCAGGAGAAGCAGACTGCTACGGGTGGGGGCTGGGCACCTGCCGGATGGAGCAGTTGCCATGTTGGTGAGGAGAGGCCTTGACCGGGATCCTGCTGGACCTCAGAGCTGCATCACAGCCCAGAAGGCACCGTGGCAGCTGTAGACCTGGTCCACTCGTGAGGGTGGTTGCCATGATTTTGCGCATACATTTTGAATTCACTGGACAGCTGATAGCTTCACACTATAAGATTTCTTCTTCCCTCCCTCTCTTCCGCCATCTCTCTCTTCCTTTCTTCTTCTTTTATGTAGAAGAAACACATTTTTTAAATCGAATGCATCCCATTCGCCACTGCCCACAAGCCTGTGGAGACAGGACCAGCTGAAGCTGTTGGTGGGTCAGTTCACATGGGGCCCAGCTCAGGTCCTTCATGCGGACTTTCTCCGGGAAGCGCCCCCGGATGTTGCACGGGGAGCTGGCCTGCCACCGTGCTGGCGCTGACACCGTCCTTTCTCCCTGACAGGAAGCTCTCCCCACGGGCAGCCCCTTCGTTTCGCTTGGAGAGCTCAGTTTTGAGGATGGAGTCGGGAGGAGGGGCCTCAACAGCCCCAGCCCTCCTGGCCACCCTTGGGGGGCCAGGTGATGGGCCTGGCTGCTCCCTGGAGCTGCCCAGCACAGACCCGGGGACGCTCCAAGCGCTGCCTGTCGGGCCTGGAGCCCACCATGAAGACGCTGCCCCTGGGAGCTCTGGCGGCCAGGCTGCAGGGGAGGGCGGCTCCCCAGACCCGGGCCCCACAGGGGAGCAGAGCAGCAACGCCAAGGTCCCCAACCGGGACAGCGGGATCGACAGCCCGTCGTGCAGCATGGCCGGCGAGCCCTTCTGTGAGGAGGGCAGTGAGGCCGGCCTGGGCTCCACCATGCTGGGACTGCACCTCGAGACGGCTCCCGACAGCAAGACTGCCCGGAAGGCGGCCGAAGGTGTTGTGGGCAAAAGCAGCAGGGAGGAGCCTGAGCCGGAGAACAGCCCCTGCAGGGTCAGTGCGGACCTGGCCAAGGTAGGCAGCTCCCCATCCCGGAACAGCGGGGCTCCTCCAAGGCGGTCTGAGATTTGCAGTGGCATCTCTCACACTTGGTGCCAGTGGCTGGGTGCCCACTGAGACACCACATTCAGAGAGGCTCCTTCGAGGGCAGGCTCTGGGGAAGTACCGCACAGGCGGCCCCCGAGACACCTTGGGCCACAACCTCACTCTGGAGCCTGGTTCCCCTGGGCCCCGCCTCAGGGCGGCCTGACCGGCCGTCTCCATGGGAACAGTGGCACCCCCCACACCCTCATGCACGCTGGCCACCCACGGAGCCCTGTGAGGAAGGCGGTCGTGTCACAGAGCTGCCCGCGGGGTTGGCGGAGGTGGGGCCCTGAGCGGACACCGGGGAGCAGCTGTGGCCATGGCTGGCACAGGAGCGGGACAGGTGCGCGGAGTGTCCGACTGGCCCGTGACCCGTCCGGTCACTTCCTTCTAACGAACCTGTTGATTGTTCTCATCACAGAAGGATGCTGGTTCTGGTTAAATACCTTTTCTTCATCAGCTTCCCCTTCATTCTGTATGACATTGATTGATTTTCGCCTGTTGAACTATTTTTTCATAATTATTATTTTATTTTTGTTACAGATGTTTCTCCTTTTCCCCCCACCCCCAGCATTGTTGTCTACGTCCACAGTTATGCATACATGCATATAAGTTCTGTGGTTTATCTCTTTCCTTCCCCCTACCCCCTCTTCTGAGGTTTGTCAGTCTGTACCCATCGTCTATGTCTCTGGGTCTATTTTGTTCATCAGCTTATTTTGTTCATTGCAGTCCACAAATAAGTGAGACCCTGTGGTATTAGTCATTCTCTGACTGGCTTATTTCACTCAGCATAATACTGTCCAGGTCCCTCCATGTAGTCTCAAAGGATAAGAGATCTTTCTTTCTTACAGCCTCATAGTACTCCATTGTGTGCATGTACCACAGCTTTTTATCCATTTGTCTACTGATGGACATTTGGGCTGTTTCCAGATCTTAGCTACTGCAAATAATGCTGCTACGAACATGGGGGTACATATATTCTTTCTGATTGGTGTGTCAGGCTTCTTAGGGTATATTCCTAGAAGTGGGATCACTGGGTCAAATGGCAGTTCCATTTTTAATTTTTTTAGGAAACACCATATTGTTTTCCATAGTGGCTGCACCAGTCTGCATTCTCACCAGCAGTGTACTAGAGTCCCCTTTTCTCCACACCCTCGCCAACACTTATTGTTTGATGATTTATTGATGGCGGCCATTCTGACAGGTGTGAGGTGATACCTCATTGTTGAACTATTCTTATAGCCCAGAAATAAATTCCACTTGGTCATGGCATACGATCCTTTTAATATGCTACCAAATTTAGTTTGCTAATATTTTGTTGAGGATTTTTGCAGCATCATTGGCCTATAGTTTTCTTTACTTGTCATATCTTGGTCTGGCTTTGGTATCAGGGTAATGCTAGCCTCATAGAATACGCTTGGAAGTGTTCTCTTCAATTTTTTGGAAGAGTCAGAGAAAAAACTCTCTAATGTTATTAATTCTCTGGTGAAGCCACCTGGTTTCATTGAGTTGGAAAGTTTTAAATTGCTTATTCAATCTCTTTACTCATTATTGGTCAGTTCAGATGTTCTGTTTATTTTGTGATTCAGTCTTGGTAGGTTGTGTGTTTCTAAGAATTGATGCATTTCTTGGGTGGTATCCCATTGTTCATTGTATTCTCTGATGGTCCTTTTTATTTCTGTGGCATCAATTGTCACGTTCTCTCTTTCACTTCTGATATCAGTTATATGAATCTTCTCTTTTTTTCTTCATTAATTTAGCTAAGGGTTTGTCCATTTCTTTGATCTTTTCAAAAAACAACTCTTAATTTTGTTGATTTTTTTCCCATTGTTTTTCTATTCTGTTTCATTGACGTCTACTGTCATCCCTATTGGGTTCTTCTTTTGAGCTGCTTTTGGTTCTTGTTTTTCCATTTTCTTGAAGTGTCAGATGAGGGCGTTGATTTGAGATCTTTCTTCTTCTTCGTGTGTGCATTAAGGCTACAAATGTCCCTCTTTGCGCTGCTTTTGCTACATCCCATAAACCTGGTATGTTGTGTTTTCCCTTTCATTTTCCTCGAAGTATTTTCTAGTTTCCTTTGTGACTTTTTTTTTTATTAATCCTCACCCAAAGGTATTTTTTCCATTGATTTTTAGACAGAGTGGAAGGAAGGGAGGGAAGGGAAGAGAGAGAGAGAGAGAGAGAAAACATCAATGTGAGAAAGAACATTGACTGGCCGCCTCCTGCATGCCCCCCACTGGGGATGGGCCCATAACCTGGGCATGTGCCCTGACTGGGAATCGAACCGGTGACCTTTTAGTGCTGGGTCAACACTCAACATTGAGCTGGGCTAACGTGAGGTTTCTTTTTTGTTTTGTTTTTCTGGATAGCATAGAGTCGGATGCTATTTTTTCAATTCATTCAGCCAATTCATGTCTTTTGATTGAGGAGTTTAATCCATTTACAATTACTGATAAGAAAGAACTTACTATCGTTTTTGTTCCTATATCACTGCCTTCCTTTTGTTTCACTGCATTTTGAACTGATGAGCCTTAATTTCCTTCTCATTTCTTTCTGTATATGTTTTATAGTTATTTTCTTTGTGGTTACCGTTGCAATTCTATAAAATACATTAAAGTTATACATTTTATTTTGAACTGATAACTTCAATTGCATATAAAAAAACTACTCCTTTACAGCTCCTCCTTTCACTCTGTTATTGATGTCAGAAATGACATATTTATACATTGTATACCCATTAACAAATATTTATAGTTTTAAAATATTTTTACCATTTAAATGCTATGTGCCAAAATCACAGCAGTGCGTGCTAGTATATTTGTCCATGCATTTACCTTTGCCAGAGAACCTTCTATTTTTGTACAGCTTATGTTACTGTCTACCATCTTTGCAACTTTTTATAAAGCAGCTCTTGTGGTAATGCACTCTTCTCCTTATTTTATTTGGGAAGGTCATAATTTCTTCATGTTTGGGCAGCTTTCCTGGATACAGTATTCTTGGTTGAGCCCTGGCCGGTTTGGCTCAGCGGTTAGAGCGTTGGCCGGCGGTACACAGTATTCTTGGTTGACAGTCTTTTCTCTTAGCATATTAAATCTATCACCTCACACTTTTTAAATTATAATTGGTCTTAGTGTGATTCTTTTTTTGTTTTTGTGTTTTACTATTCACCCAAGGTTATGTTTTAGAGAGAGAGAGAGAGAGAGGAGAGAGGAGAAACATCCATTAGTTGCCTCCTGCCAGGAATCAAACCAGCAATCTAGGTATGTGCCCAGACAGGGAATCAAATCTATAATCTTTTTGGTGTATGAGACAACTCTTCAACCAACTGCACCACTCGACTCAATGTGGTTCTTTTCAGATTTATCCTAGTTGAAGTTTCTTGAGCTTCTCAAATTTGTATGTCCATTTCTTTATTCAGATTTGGGAAGTTTTCAGGCAGTATTTCCTCAAATCAGCTCTCTGCCTCTTTCAGTCTTTTCTCCTACTAGGACTCCCATCATACGTACATTGGTCTCCTTGTTAGTGTCTCATGAGTTCCTTAGGTTCTCTTTGTTTTTATTCATTCTTTTTTTCTTTTTGTTCCTGTGATTTGATGATTTCAAATGATCTATCCTTAAGTTTGCTGACTCTTTCTTCTGCCTGATAAAATCTGTGATAAAATCTGATATTAAACTCCTGTAATGAGTTTTTAGTTTATTTATCGTATTTTTCATGTCTATTATTTTTATTTGGGTCTTTTTTATAGTTTTTATTTCTGTTGATATCCTCATTTGTTCATGCATCATTTTTGTTGAGTTGTCTGCCTATGTTTTCTTTTAGCTCATTGGGCATCTTTTTATAGGTTCTATGTCTTTGTTGATATTATTTTGTTTATGCATCATTTTTGTGATTTAGTTGAGCTATCTGTGTCTTCTTTTAGCTCACTGAGCATCTATATGACACCTATATTTTAGAGGGTGGTCAGGCAGCTCATAGCTCTATGTTTCTTTAGAGTTGGTCTCTGGAGTTTTTTTTTTTTTTTTTTTCCTTTGATTGAACCATGTTTTCCTGTTTCTTTGTCATTTTTTGCTGGAATTTGGAAAACAGTCACCTCTACAGTCTTTGCTTGCTTTGTACAGGCAAAATCCGCTAATCCGCCCACCTGGAGATGCCAGGACTTCTTAGACTTTTTCTGATTTCTCACTACCCTGTCACCTGACTGCAGAACACCAGCTGTGATGTGCAGCCTGCCTCTGTTTTCAGTGGCTTGCAAACTCTGGCACTGGTCCTGTGAGCACTCCAAGTCTTACGAGACAGAACCCAGCCCCTCAAGCAGCCTGCAAACAAGTCAGAATTGGGATGCACAGTTCATTCTCTTGTTTTCATCCTGCAGGAGGAGCCCCCATAAAGGAGGTTCCTTCCACTGTGCCGTGCTCTGCTGCCAAAAGGGTGTGCCAGGCACTGCCAGTGTCCCGCCGCATTTGTGAGGGCATCTGCTTGGCTTTACAGCAGTCTGCGAGCTGGAGCTTCACAGCTGCTCTCTAGAATTCTTGCAGGGGTATTCTAGTCCACGTATTGTTTTTGTTTTAAAATATGTTTTTACTGACTTTTTTAGAGAGAGATAGAAACATCGATGTGAGAGAGAAACATTGATGGGCTGCCTCCTGCATGCCCCCTACTGGGGGTTGAGCCTACAATCTGAGCATGTACCCTGACTGGGAATCGAACCGGGACCTCTCAGTTCATGGGCTGATGCTCAATCCACTGAGCCACACCGCTGGGCTGTAGTCCATGTATAGTTGCTAACTCCAGGTCTCTGTGGTGAACGGAGGGCCTGTAGCTTTCTAGTCGCCATTTTGCTGGCATCACTGCACTTTATATGTATATGTATATGTTGTTGTTGATACTCACCTGAGGATTTTTTTTTTCATTGATTTTTAGAAAAAGTGGACAGGAGGGAGGGAGAGAGAGAGAGAGAGAAAGAAACATCAATGTGAGAGAGACACATCAATTGGTTGCCTCTTGCATGTGCCCCAACTGGGGCCAGGAATCAAACCTGTAACCCAGGTACGTGCCCTTGACCGGGAATGGAACCCGTGACCCTTCGGTGCAGGAAAGACGCTCTGACCACTGAACCACGCTGGCCAGGGCTCCACAATGTATTTGATGTGGCTGTTCTGTCTTCAAAGGCCCTGGATGGTAGAGCTGTCTCTGCACTGCAGAAGCTTCGGGGCTTGGTGGGAACTGTTGTGACTTCCCCAGAAACCTCCCTGGAGTTTCCATCTGTGAGAACTGAGCCCCACATTCGAATCCCAGCAGCCTCCACTGGCCCCGTGGCACACCTAGTCGTTCCTGGTGTGCAGTAGATGGCCCTTGTCAGATCTGCCTCTCTAGGCTCCTCTTCCCCAGGTGAGCTGTGGCTCTTCTCTCCCCAGCAGTCCAAGCCCCAGGAGCTGCTCCACATTGCCCAGGAGCTCCTGCACACAGAGGAGACCTACGTGAGGCGGCTGCACCTGCTAGACCAGGTAGCCCTCCGGCCGGGGCAGGCCTTTCATTGTTTTGGTGGGCAGTTTCACAGGCAAGCTCCCTGTCTTCACGTTGGCTAGGCCTTACATTTGGAATGCAAATGACTATACTAAAACTCAGGCAAATTTAGGCATCCTCCAAAAACATGTTCTCTGCTCTTCGAGCTGGTAGTTCTAGGGCAAAGGTCTGGGCTGATCTTTATTTCCAGCAATCACATTCTATGAGCATGTAAATGGCCTTTGGACGTCTTTCTGCATAAATAGTTGAGACTGTGGGTGGCACTTTCTCTGTCCATGTGGCAACACGGGGTTTATGAGCACAGGAAGTCACTCCACAGGCGACCCAGGGTGTTACAGGTGGTGCTTCTGTTTGTGGCTCACAAGCAGATAAAGGAAATGGGGACCTTCTATTTCCCATGAGAGGTGGGTGGCGGGAAGATGGTCTACCTTCGCCATAAGTAAACATGCTTTAAGACCATCAGCTTGTTTGAGCCACTGTGACAAAATGGGAGGTCTGTTAAGGAAGGAGGAGGCGGTCCCAGCCTCTCCTAGGCACCCACACCCGCAGAAGCCGCAGGATCACACCATGGTGACCCTCACTCGGTGACTGTTCCCGTGGTGACCCTCTCTCGGTGACTGCTGTGTGCCCAGGTGTTCTGCGCCCAGCTGACAGAAGCAGGGATCCCGCTGGAGGTCACCACAGGAATCTTCTCTAACATCTCCTCCATCTACCGCTTCCACGGGCAGTTCCTGCTGCCCGAGCTCCAGACGAGGATCACGGAGGAGTGGTGAGCGGGGCTCCTGGCACCTGGGAGATGGGGGCCAGCATCTCCCCAGGAGTCTGGCTTCCACATGGTCGACAGCTGATGGTCCTGGTGATTTTGTCATGGTGGTTTTTTAAAACTTCTCTTTGCCACGTGGCCTTGAAATCTGGAGTTTCTGTGCCTTGAAGCTGGGCATGCCCTTGACCTTTCTCTCAGTGCTCTGGGCTCTGGTGCAAGGTCCTGGGCCCACCCTGACCTCACCGACCCCACTGCGCTCGCTGTCTGCCAGTCTCAGCTATTCTGAAAATCTAACGGACTTGAATACCTGCTTAGGGCTTCATGGGACTTGAATGGGTCAGACATCTGCCAGCTCTCGCCTGCCAGTCACTTCATTTCCCTCCCAAGGCAGACTCCGCCTTTGCTTTAAATGTTAATTCTCTGCCTGGCTGGTGTGGCTCAGTGGTTGAGCACAGACCCATGCACCAAGAGGTCGCAGGTTTGATTCCCGGTCAGGGCACATGCCCAGGTTGTGGGTCTCATCCCCAGTAGGGGGCATGCAAGAGGCGGCCAGTCGATGTTCTCTCTCATCGATGTTTCTATCTCTCTCTTCCTCTTTTTCTAAAATCAATAAAGAAAAAAAAAATTTTTTAAATTAGTTCTTCCCCCTCAATAGTACACCTTGGATCCTCCCTCTGACCCTGGGGGGCTGTCCTGCTGTCCCTCTGCCACCCCTGTTCATTCTCAGCTCAGCTGCAATCGCAGTAATAAAATGTCACCGACGTGGCCCCCGCCTGGCCACTCTCCGCCTCACGTGCTTTCTGCTCGGTCCTGGGCGCTGCAGCTTGGCTTTGTGGACTCCATGGTGGCCTTTCGCTGGCCCAGCTTGACCCGTGCACCGCTGTCCTGTCACATTGGGAGCACCAGGAGCCGGGCCCCTCCAGGCTGCAGCCCGGCCAGCCTCCCTACCAGGCTCAGCTGGACACTGTGTCACTTTGTAAACCTTTAGAGGGACAGGCTGCACCCACAGAGCAGGTATTCCCAAGGCCATTGGGTCAAGGCTCAGGGCTGTCTGGCTTCTGGCTGACATAGTCCTTCTGGCTGGAAACAGGTTTTCTCTTCCAGGCCCTGGACACTGATCGAGCACAGGTGTCTGTGCTGTGCTGGTGTAACAGCCGTGCAGGGGCCCAGCCCTGCCTGCTGCCGCCATGGGGGCGGGGCCTTGGAGTGAAATCCCCGCATGCACCTTTCTCGTCACCCCACAGTGGGCGGCTTTGTGCCTTTTTCCCTTCTTTTCAATGATTTATTTCGGATACCCCCCCAGTTCTGAGGTCAAAGACTTCATCTTTTTTTATGTTTTTTGAGGCTTACTTCTAAGTCCCCGACCAAATCACTGCCAGGAACACACAGTGCTGCGTTCCCACGAGGGTGCCAGCGTGGGTCGCCCTATGCTCCTGACCTTCGCTCCTTTGAAGGAGTGAGACGGAGTCTCCTTGTTTCTCTCCAGTGACTGGCCCACCACTAGCACCTTGTTCTGAGCATGGTTCTGGGTCTGCCCAGGGGGTGCTTCACGTGAGCCATCTGCTAGTCCACTATTTTCTTTCCTTTTTTTTTTCCCTTTATTGATTTTAGAGAGAGGAAAGGAGAGGAAGAGAGAGATAGAATCATCGATGAGAGAGAACATCGATGGGCCGCCTCCTGCATGCCCCCCACTGGGGATCGGGCCCACAACCTGGGCGTGTGCCCTGACCGGGAATAGAACCAGTGCAGGGTCGACGCTCAACCATGGAGCCACACGGGCTGGGTGGTAATCCACTATTTTCTACCCCATGTGACACAGGGGGGAACATTAAGGCTCAGAGAGCCTTTTGCTGACCATCACATAGAGCTGGGAGTCAGGCTGTCACCTGTAGCCCTGGTGAAGTCACCCTGACCCCTCACCTGAGTTGTTTCTCTGATGCTCTCACTCTCCCACAAAGGGACATGAACCCTCGGTTTGGGGACATCCTGCAGAAGCTGGCCCCATTCCTCAAGATGTACGGCGAGTATGTCAAAAACTTCGACCGGGCGATGGAGCTAGTGAGCACCTGGACCCAGCGCTCACCCCTGTTCAGAGACGTCGTCCACAGCGTCCAGGTAGGACCGGCCGTGCCTCAGGGGCTGAGCTTCAGGTTGGTCTGTCCACATGGGGGAAAGTGGTACCACCGTGGGGTGTGTCCAGGTGCACCACTGATGCTTTGATTCTTAAAATGACTCCCGGAGACAAACCTCACCCAAGGACATTTTTCCATTTTTTGTTCAGATAGAGTGGGAGGGAGAGAGAGGAAGAGAGAGAGAGAGAGAGACATCAATGTGAAAGGGACACATTGAATGGCTGCCACCCGCGTGACCAACCAGGGCCGGGGACAAATGCAACCGAGGTACGTGCTCTTAGCGGGCACCGAACCCCGTCTCTCTGGACCGCAGGCCGATGCTCTAACCGCTGAGCCAAATTGGCCAGGGCCAAACCTTGATTCTTATTCCACCCGTGGGGAAATCGGAGCTCAGAGGGTGTCATGAATATTGTAGACAAAACCTGGGTCCACGGGCCCGTCTTCCTCCACATCCCTCCTCGTGGCTCGAGCGGCATTTAGGGAACTGTTCCATTGGTCTCTCCCTATTCCCTGCACACGCTCCGTTCACATCCAGCTGCTGCTGTCCCCGCGGCGCAGCCCTTCTTCTCACTGATTCACAAGGGTTTAAAAAACATATTTCCCCCTTTACTGATTTTAGAGAGAGGAAGGGAGAGGGAGAGAGAGCTAGAAACATCGATGAGAGAGAACACTGATGGGCCGCCTCCTGCATGCCCCCCACTGGGGATGGGCCCACAACCTGGGCATGTGCCCTGACCGGGAATGGGACCGGCGACCTCCTGGTGGATGGGTCGACGCTCAACCACTGAGCCACACTGGCTGGTCATTCACAAGGTTTTTGTATGTTAGAAGTGTTAGTTGTTACCTGTCATATGTGTTACCAACACTTTTTTCTCATGGATCTTGCTTATTTTTTAACTTTATTTATGATGTTGCTTTCTATACCAAAATTTTGTTTTTTAATTAACCACATCCACCCATTTTTAAATAAAGGCATGCTCTCCGGAAGTCTTCAAAGGGAGCTTGTACCTGCAGCTCTCACCTCCCAAGGCTACAGAAATCATGTTTTCTTCTAAAGTGTGGCTTCATTTCAAAAATTAAAAATGTTATCCCAGAATAATTTCCCGATAGATTGTGGTATGAGGTAAGAATCTGGTTTTATTTCTGTGACTAGTCAGCTGCCTGTCCTAACATCACTAGTACATGCATGCGCGCATACACACACACACACACACACACACACACACACACACACTCCTGGAGGGTTGATGGCACAGAGACCTTCTGTGCTGAGGGTTTGGAGAATGGGCTCAGGTTTGGGTTGGCCTCTTTGTAACTTAGTGCATTTTCCCAGGTCCCCCATCATCAGGTCAGCTGTGATTTCCTAGATCACACTGTGTCCCTCAGCAGCCCTGTCCCTCCCAGAGAGACAGCCCCAACACCGAGTCCTCCCTTCTCCCTCCGCGCACACCCCGGAGCCCTCACTCCCTCGCTTGTGCCCGGGCACTCTCAGCTTTCCCACGAAACACTTCCCTCCAGCCTCCCTGAGCCGTGCCCATGGCTGCCCGACAGCCCGAAGGGACCAGAGACCAGGGCTCGTGCTGCCCAGGTTTGCAGGGTCTGGCCACCCAGCGGCAGGGCTGATTGGGGACGGCCAAGCGGGGCTCCCCAGGGATGAAAGTTTAGGCTGCTGTGCACTCCCACCGAGGCTGATAGGTGGAGAACAAACCCCCTTTCCCGGGACACAGATCACAGCAAGACCCTTTCTAGGACACGTGTGCCATGTGTGGCCGTCGCAGATCGCGGCCAGGTTGACTGCTGCCCTGGCGGGGCTTCGTCACTGTCAGGAGGAGCCGTGGGCCCATGCCGGGGCCTCACCGACCCAAACTCCCGGTGGCCCTACAACCCTCCCCAGCCCAGTTGCCTGCTTTTGTGGTTTTTCTGTTCACTTCCTATATCTCTTCTTCATCATGAAGCTGTAATTGAGGAAGTTGAAATCTAGTTTGCATGGGGCCATTGGTATCTGATTTAGTTGTGTTGAGGAAGACGAGAAGACAAAGTGAGGTGTGATTTGGTGTACTTCCCCCTGCGGCAGCCAGTGGCAACTCTCTGGAGTCCGAGCGAAGGAGGGCGCATTCCGGGGACTGCTCCTTCTTGATGCAGTGGCCGCGACCTGACATTCACCTGGTGCTCCAACCTGATGCGATGCCACCCTGAGTTCCCTCTGGCACTCATGGGACAGGCTGTCTTCTCTGCTCACACCCCGCAGACCAGGTCCTTGGGTCTGCAGGCCCCTAGTGACCACACATTTGGGGGTGGGGATGACCAATGTGTTGTCACAGGCAGACATGGTCTGGGTCACAGCCAGCTGCCAGACAATGCATCCCCACACCCCGGACGAACCCGGGGCTCTGGGCTGGGTGCACTGTGGGAAGGGCTCCTTACCCAGGGTCACCACAGCCCATGGCTGTCCGCAGGCCCCTCCCCCAGGGACTCCTGCAGCGTGGCGCCATTGTGGGTGCAGGCTAGGGATGTCGCTAAATGTCCCACGGGCACCGGGCAGCCCCACCATGCTGAGAGCCCTTGTGTGGACAAAGCAGGGATTGCGTGGCCTTTGGAGGCTTCATTGATCTAATCCAAAGCCTATTCTAAAATTTTTGAGCTTTTTAAAAAATTTTTTAATTATTTATTTATTTTTTTGTTACAGATATTTCACCTTTTTAACCCCATTGGCACCCCCCACCCCACCCCCGCCCTGTCCCCGGCTTAGTTGTCCATGACCATTGGTCATGCATACATGCATATAAGTTCTGTGGTTTATCTCTCCCCCACCCCCACCACCCCCCCATCCCCTCTTCTGAGGGACGTCAGTCTGTGCCCTACTTCCATGTTTCTGGGTCTACCGTATTCCTCAGACTGTTATGTTCATTATATTCTGTATATATGAGCTTTTATTTTGAAGTAATTTCAAGTATTTGCAAGAAGGTTGCAAAAATGGGGAATTGTTAACATTTTATCTTGTTTACTGTATCACTGGTTCCAGACACACATATGATTCTATCTTAACCTTGTGAGACTGAGCCAGGGGTGCAACCCCGCGTCACTGAGTGTGATCAGGGTCTTCTCCTGATCAGTCAGGAGCAGTCAGGATGCTGACGGTGGCAGCAGCCCTCGCTCATGTACCACCAGCTGTCCAGTTTGTTTGATGTTCTGATCCACAGACCAGCCCAGGGCCACACATTGCATTCATTACCATGTTTGTCCTTCACCTGTGTCCTGCCCTTGTCGCTCTGGCGGAGACAGGCCGGTCATGGTTGCACGCTCTCTCTCTATTTGGGTGGGGTGGATTCCATAAGAGGCAGGCAGGCCTCGCAGCCAAGACACAGGTGCTGGGCATCTGTCAGGGGGAGGAAGGGCAGCCCGGGCAGGGCCCAGTGGGTAAGCACAGAGGTGGCAGATGACGGTCTGGAGCACAGGTGCCTGATCAGGCCTGGACGAGAGCTGCAGGGCCAGAGAGAGGGTTGTGTTTAAGAAGGAGGGTGGGAGCCTGGAGCGGTGCTGGGCAGGGGTACCAGGAGAGTCCCAGCCCCCACTCCACTAGGCGTGACCCCTAGGGCTTCCCAGCTCAGGCCCTTGGGGAAATGTGAGCGGGGAGCCGCTGATGAGGGAAGGAGGTGGCCTTGTCCCAGCACTAATTTTCTCCCTGAGGATGTGCATGAGCGAGCAGCCTGGGTCAAGAGCAGGCCCACCTGGGTCCGGGTCCTTGCTCCAGTGCTCAGCCTGATCTCGGTCCCCCACGTGGGGCCTGCAGTCAGCAGGCGCAGGTGCTCTGCAGAGCTCCGGGAGCTGCGGTGGCTGGAGGTCAGGGTGGGCCCAGGGTTCACAGGTGTGTCCACGATGCCCACACTCTCTGTCTTCCCCACAGAAGCAGGAGGTGTGTGGGAACCTGACGCTGCAGCACCACATGCTGGAGCCCGTGCAGAGGGTCCCTCGCTACGAGCTGCTGCTCAAGGACTACCTGAAGCGGCTCCCGGCAGATGCCCCAGACCAGAAGGACGCCGAGAGTGAGCAGAGCCCCCAGCCTGGCAGGCTCCCGGGGAGTGGGAGCAGGGCACCTACTGAAAACCCATAGTGACAGGGACACGGAAGGACAGAGACAAAGAGATAGAAACAGAGAGAGACAGAGACAGAGAGACAGAGTAACTGAAACAGAGAGAGACAGAGACAGAGAGACAGAGTAACTGAAACAGAGAGAGACAGAGACAGAGTGACTGAGACAGAGAGAGACAGAAACAGGGACAGAGACAGACAGACAGAGAGGAAGAAGGCTCCAAGTGCCCCTGCACACATCTTGGGAGTGACTGAGGGTCTCTGAGATGAGGCAGGTGCCCTGCTCCCACTGCAGTGTGAGGGGCAGACACTGGCTCTGGGGTTCCTAAGTGCCAGCATTGCTTAGGCCTCAAGGGCCTCGCCAGGTTGCAGGGGGCTACCCACACAATGAGGTGCTAGCCCCCAGGCCCCAGAAAACACGGTATGTCTGCAGGGCCGCATCCCTCCCTTCCACTAGCCAGGCTCTTGAGCAGCCCCAAGCCCATGGGAAATGCAGGGTGGGGCAGGCCTAACTCAGCCTTGCCAGTCCAGGGTGCACAGGCTACCTGGTGCCCTGCAGCCTGACGCCAAATCTTCTTCCGCAGAATCCTTAGAGCTCATCTCCAAGGCCGCCAACCACTCCAATGCTGCCATTCGAAAAATGGTGAGTGAGGAGGTGACGCCCATGGGTGTCTGAGGGACCTACAGCGTGATGCAGGGAGAGTGTGGGGTGAGCCAGGCGCTCTATCGTCATACACACATATTCACCTGTCAGCAGGTGAGTTGTATTAGTGCACACACACACACACACACACACCTGTCCCCACGTGTCTTTCCTCAGCACGCACACATACCCACCTGTTCGTAGGTGAGCTTCATCAGTGTACACACACACCATGCACACATACACACACACACACCCCATGCACACACATATACCTATCCCCAGGTGGGTTTCTTAGCATGCACATGCTCCCACATGTCCCCCAGGGCAGGCAGGGGCTCTGTTGAGAACTAGACAGGCCTGTCTCATACTAGCTCGGTGATGGTAGGTATGTTATTTAGCACGGTGTGCCTCAGTTTCCCCATGTGTAAAACACAGTCACTGACAGAACCTGTCTCCTTGGGCTGCAGCAGAGATTAAACCACTGCATAAGGTAGAACAGGACGGGGCACAGGTTAGCTCTCGGCACGCCTGTCCTTCCTCCGTTCACTTGCTTATTCTTTCAAGCTCTGTCTTAGTACAGGCGGCTGCAACCACACGGCATGGACAGGGCAGCTGAAGCCACATAGTTCTGGTGGCTGCGGCCCTGACCCAGGTGCCAGCACGTCTGGGTCCAGCTTGCAGGCAGCTGTGTCCTCACATGGCTGAGAGAGCCGCAGAGCTTCCTGGGGTCTCTTCCGGTCAGGCTCTCCTCCCATCACGGGGACTCTGCCCTCATGACTGTGACCTCATCTGACCCTATCACCTCTGAAGACCTTACCTCCATACACAATCAAACGTGGAGGAGACATGTCTCCTCATTGGTCTAACGCCTGTGTGTGGCTCAGGGAGACCTCACTGGGCCCCACCGGTACCCTGCCTGGTTCTCCGGGCCACCATGGTCCCCAGCCAGCTCCGGCCTCTGTGTCCCAGTCCGGAGACCTCTGCGACCTATTTATTTTGTGCACTGCTGTTTGGGTTTTTCCAAGTACAGTTTACATTCAGTATTCTGTAAGACATTTGTTTTTTGAAAGAAAAAAGAAAGTGAAATATATTTTTTTAAATCTCACATTCCTCACAGTGAGAATTGAGAGGTGGGCGGCTTGTCTGGGCACAGGTCTTCTCTGTGACCCCCTTCCTTCCTCCTCGTCACCCATCTGTCCCCAGGGCTGGGTCTGGGGTCCCAACCAGATTGGCCTGAGGTCAGGTCCCCTGTAGGGCGCCCATGACCACCATACACAGGCCATATTTCCTCTGGGTCTTTTAAAATTGCATCCCCCCCCCCTTTTTCCTGCCCAAGACTCAATCTAATGAAGAGGAAAAGTTGCTTTGCAGAACTGCACAGCCATGAGCTCACACAGCTGGTGGACATCTGGGGAGTCCGTGGGCCTCATCTCTGAGGGGGAGGACGAGACCTGGGGCTCCCCTTCAGGTAGGCTCTGCCTACTGCATGGCATTCCTGTCTCCCCAGTTAGGCCTCCGCCAACCAGGTGTGACAAGTGGGCAGCTCGGCCGCAGAGAGAGCCCCGGGGCCGGCCGGAGGGAAATATCAGTGTGTGCTCCCTGGAACTTCTTCATGCTTTCATCCATCCCCATCTACCCTCAGCCTCAGCCTCCCCAAGCCTCCCCAAGCCTCCCCACACCACCATCTCTCTGGCCTCTGACCCACCCCACTCCATCTCAGAGCTTTCTAAGGGGCACCTACATTGTCCTTCTTTGCTCAGAACCCTCCTGTCCTGCAGCTGCCTCCCAAGTACAAACCAGTTCTCCTACACACCAGGTGAATGTCCAGCCCCCCAGTACACACCAGGTGAATGCCCAGTGCCCCAGTACACTCCAGGTGCACAACTAGCCCCCCAGTACACACCAGGTGCACACCTAGCCCCCCAGTACACACCAGGTGAATGCCCAGCGCCCCAGTACACACCAGGTGAATGCCCAGCGCCCCAGTACACACCAGGTGAATGCCCAGCCCCCCAGTACATACCAGGTGAATGCCCAGCCCTTTAGTACACACCAGGTGAATGCCCAGCCCCCCAGTACATACCAGGTGAATGCCCAGCCCCCCAGTACACACCAGGTGAATGCCCAGCCCTTTAGTACATACCAGGTGAATGCCCAGCCCCCCAGTACATACCAGGTGAATGCCCAGCCCCCCAGTACACATCAGGTGAATGCCCAGCCCTCTAGTACATACCAGGTGAATGCCCAGCACCCCAGTACATACCAGGTGAATGCCCAGCCCTTTAGTACATACCAGGTGAATGCCCAGCCCCCCAGTACATACCAGGTGAATGCCCAGCACCCCAGTACACATCAGGTGAATGCCCAGCCCTCTAGTACATACCAGGTGAATGCCCAGCACCCCAGTACATACCAGGTGAATGCCCAGCCCTTTAGTACATACCAGGTGAATGCCCAGCCCTTTAGTACATACCAGGTGAATGCCCAGTCCCCCAGTACATACCAGGTGAATGCCCAGCCCCCCAGTACACATCAGGTGAATGCCCAGCCCTCTAGTACATACCAGGTGAATGCCCAGCACCCCAGTACATACCAGGTGAATGCCCAGCCCCCCAGTACACACCAGGTGCACACCTAACCCCCCAGTACACACCAGGTGCACGACCAGCCCACCCAGGACACACCGGGTGCACACTCAGCCTCCCAGTACACTCCAGGTGCTCTCCAAGCTCCCCAGTACGTACAAGGCCCTTCAGCCCTGCCCTCCTGGTCCTCATCGCTCTTGATGCCAGTTCCCCTCCTGCCCGTACACCCACAGGTACCACCTGTTTCTGTACCAAAGCACAAGGGCCAGCCAAAGCAGCCTGCGTCTGAAGTTTGCAGGCTGAGGTTGGCCGAGTCCACAGGCAGTGGCTGCCGCAGTAGGGCGGGTCAGTACTGTGTCCCTGGTCGGGTTCCTGCCTTCACTCACACTCCGCCCCCAGTGGTAGCAGTGATGGCTCAGGGCCCACGGCCTCTTGGCTCAGAGCTGGGGCCATCATTGCTGACTGTCTCCCATCGCACCCCCGGGGCACTGGTTGGTCAGGTTACCACCCAACCAGCCATGAGACCAGAGGGAGATGAGCTGCAGACGGACAGAGGTCTGATGGAGCAGGACATAAGGCAAGGCTATCGGAGCAGGGGGCACCGTTTGGGGCAAACCTGAAGCCGCCCAGCTTGTCCCCTGATAGCTTTCATAGAAGCAGTGGGCATGCAGGGCAGAGGCTGGCAGGACCAGCCCCAGCTCTCTGGCTGAAACACCTCCAGCAAGGCACTTGCTTCTCCGTGCCTCCGTTTCCTTGTCTGTACAGTGGGGATAATAATAGCACCCACCTGAGAGGGTGGAACACTGCCTGGCACATAGCAACAATGTTAACTGTTGCTATTATGTATCACGATGCTGTGCAACGAGAATATGCATCCTTCACTGCTCAAGCCGTGCTCTGCCTCCTGTCCATCAGCAGGCTCACTGCCTGGTCTTGGTCCTGGACCATGCGTGCATGGGGGCCCGCTCACCGCTGGCTGTCCGCAGCCCCTGCCAGCCTCCAGTTGCTGTGGCCACAGAGCTGCCCGAGCCCTGTGTCTCTTGCAGGAGAAAATGCACAAGCTCCTGGAAGTGTACGAGCAGCTGGATGGGGAGGAGGACATCGTCAACCCCGCCAACGAGCTGATCAAGGAGGGCCAGATCCAGAAGCTGTCGGCCAAGAATGGCATAGCCCAGGACCGCCACCTCTTCCTGGTGAGCTCCCTCCTCTAATCCCCGCCAGGCCACACCCAGCCCTGCCCACCGCCGCCCCTGCCCAGCCAGAGCCACTCCCTGGGATGTCTGCTCTCTGGGTCGCCTGCAGCCTGCTGGCCCCTGACCCTGCCTGTCCCCATCCAAGTTCAACAGCATGATGCTTTACTGTGTGCCCAAACTGCGGCTCATGGGCCAGAAGTTCAGCGTCCGGGAGAAGATGGACATTTCAGACCTCCAGGTGGGCGAGCCCCTCCCCTCCCCCCTCCCCCAGGAGGGCACAGGGCAGGGGTGGGGACATAGCTTTGGCTCCCGCAAGCACCTGGCCACTGGCCCACTTCCCTAAGCCTCTGCCCTGTCAGTGACCCAGGCTGGGCTGTCTCTGAGGATGCCTGGCATCACTCTGCTTGGTCCATTTGCCAGGGCACTGTGGGCCTCACACTCACAGGATGAAGGATGGCACCAGGCCTTGGCTGACCCCTGTCCTCTGTGAGGTCAGCGCTCAGGGCCCCATTTATAGACCCAGAGGCGAAGCTTGGGGTGAATGCCTGACCTCCACCCACGCCCTCTTCTCTCCCATACCACCTCTGACCAGAGGAGGTTTCACGGGTGCTGGAGCCTGGGGTCCACACAGCCTGTGTCCCGGCCCTGGGCCTGTTGGTGTCTGCTGGCGCTGGGGCTGCGGGAGCCGGAGCCGGTCCCCTCCTGTGGGGGCGGCTGCAAAGTCATCGGTGTTTAAGAATAATGGCTAGATCAAAGTATTTAATCAGTTCTCAAAAGTGAGGTTTTGCCTTAGTGATACAGAAAAAATCTCTTCTTACTTTGAAGTTCTCTGAATCTGGGTTTAAGAAACACCATTAAAAGTAAGGACTAACCAGAGGAAAAAAATACTCTCACCAAGTGAGAAGAAACTATTTTTCTAGTGTTTCTCTGTTAGAAAGAAAGAAAGAGAGAGAGAAAAAGAGGAAGGAAGGAAGGAAGGAAGGAAGGAAGGAAGGAAGGAAGGAGAAAGGAAGGAAGGAAGGAGGGGGGGAGGGAGGGAGGGAGGGAGGAAGAGAGAGAGAGAAAGAAAAAGAGAAAACCGGTCTGTGTCATTAGCTGGATGTGACAGCGAAGGTCCTGACTGGGGCATCTGGGAGAGCCCTGCTATGAGGCACCAGGGCCCTCGTCCCTATAACCAGGTCCTGGTTCTGTTGGCCCGGCCCAGGGCCACATCCCGCCACGGATCTCAGGAATCCCTGCGGAGCCGTGGGCATTGTCTGGCTGTGTTCCCAGGAGTCCCACCCTCCATCAGTTGTCCGGCTTCTGGGTTCCTTGGGGGGAGGGGGGGGAGGCTCAGCTTCTCCAGGGACTGGCTGCCAGTGTCCCAGGAGTCCCGGGGGCAGGCAGGTTTGGCAGAGGCGGGGCCCTAACTGCTCCTCCACAGGATGGCTCCCCCTCGTCCACATGCTCATGAAGCAGCTGTCCCTCAGTCGTGACCTTGAGCCAGGCACCCTACCTGCAGATGCGCTGGGACCCCTCTGCCCCTCCCCAAAGATCTCCATGCCTGAGAGCGTGAGGCCACAGCTCAGGGCCCACTAAGCAACTGGCTGTTCTGTTCTGTCCTTGGTCGTGTGCCTTCAGGTGCAGGATACCAGCAAGCCGCAGGCAGCCCACACCTTCGTCATAACAGGAAGGAAAAGGTCCCTGGAGCTGCAAGCCCGGTAGGCCTGGCTGTGTGGTGTCTGCTGCCGTGTGAGCTGAATGTCTCGGACCCGGAGTTTTAGCGGATGGCTTCTTTGTCTCACATGGAGAACCTTGCTGTGTGTTTTCATTTGTTCATTGTGTCCACTTATTTGTGGGTTAAAAGGGGCAGTCCATGAAAATTAAGCCTCTACCTACCTGTTCCTCCCCACAGTGGACATTATTATTATTATTATTTCATGTTTCTATTGATTTTTTTAGAGAGAGAGGAAGGGAGAGAGAGATATAAGCATCAATGTGACCAGGAATTGAACCAGGACCTCTCAGTCCATGGGACGATGCTCAGTCCACTGAGCCGCACCGGCTGGGCCACGGTTGACATTCTTAACCATCCCTTAAATATCCCTCAGTCTCCATGCACATACATATGTATCCAACTTTGGCATCACAGACAACGCTATACCTATTCAGCATCTTGCTTTTTTTACTTATCAGAAATCATCTTAATTGAGCATCATTTCCTAGAGCAGTGTAATCATTTACTAGGACACACTGATGCTCACTGACGGGCACCGAGGTTCCTCTGGGGTCTCGAGCGGCAGCACCTGGCTCCAGGTTCTGCGCGTATGTGTATTCTACCTGCCGGGCGGACCAGAAGCAGACTTGCTGGCCACTCGGGGCTCGTCTGCTGTGCGTTTTGGCAGCTGCGGTTACACTGCTCCATGAGCTCTCGCTCTGACTGGTGGCATCCGACTGGTGGCAGTGTGACTGGTGGCATCTGACTGGTGGCAGTGTGACTGGTGACATCTGACTGGTGGCATCTGACTGGTGGCAATGTGACTGGTGGCAGTGTGACTGGTGGCATCTGACTGGTGGCATCCGACTGGTGGCAGTGTGACTGGTGGCATCCGACTGGTGGCATCTGACTGGTGGCATCTGACTGGTGGCATCTGACTGGTGGCAGTGTGACTGGTGGCATCTGACTGGTGGCATCCAACTGGTGGCAGTGTGACTGGTGGCATCCGACGGGTCCCTCCTCTCACTGCCTCCAAGGACCTTGGGAACAGCCCACTGTCGCCTAGCGAGGCGTTGACTTACATCCACTGAAGAAGGCTCAGTATACCACACCTGCCCACACCAGGCCATACCCAACCCCATCTGGCCACACCCAACCCCATCTGACCCATGTGACTATCCCTAACTCCAATGGCCACACTTGACCCCACCTAGCCATACCTGACTACATCTGGCTACACCTGACCCCACATGGCTAAACCTGACTCCACTTGGCCATGCCTGGCCACACCTGATCCCAGCTGGACACACATGACACCACTTGGGTAAACCTTCCTGGCCACACTGACTTCACCTGTCTGTACCTGACTCCACCTGGTCACACCTGGCCATACCTGAGCCCACCTGGCTGCACCTGATCCCAGCTGGCCACAGAGCTCTGGAACCCATCAGGGCCCATCTTCCAGGCCTTGAACTGCCCTTTGAGACAGTGAGCAGCTCAGGCGTGTGCTACCGGATTAGGAGGTGTCTGGTGGTTGAGACCCAAGGCTAAATTAATAAAATGTTGTTTCTGTTTTTCACAGGACAGAAGAGGAGAAGAAAGAGTGGGTTCAGGTGAAGCCCCTGAAGTTTTATAGTAACCAAATCACCGAGTTCTTGAGCAGCACGGCCATTTCCTGTTGGAACAAAGAATTGAATAGCCGCAGGCACTGCCCTACCTCGTCCACCTTAAAATGACAGCCTGACCGAGTTTATGAGCACCTTAGACACCAGGAGTCTGTCAATCCGTGTGCTTGTTTGGCCCCCCAGTAAATAAAGAAACCAAGGGCCTGGAGATGGGCAGGCAGGGAGGAACCCTCCCTGGGGGTGGACCTCTGCTGTCTGGTGGCTCCAAAGGGGGTGGGTGCTGCCCTGTCTGCGTGGCGGCAGGTCGAGCAGGACAGGAAGAGTGACTTCCCCCATGGAGCCTGCGCTAGGGCTGGGCTGGGTGGCCCAGTGGGCAGTGCTCTGGGGCAGTCACAGCACACCCAGCTCAGAACTGGTCAGGTGGGATGCCCGGTCAGACAAGCCTGTGAGGGCAAAGGTCCGCAGGGTGGGGACAGAGCCACAGGGCACCCAGAGTGGCTCTGGTCAGGCCAGACGCTGACTGTTAGGCTGTGGGTTCTGAAATGCACAGAACAGACATCTGGGGGAGAAGAGACAAGAAACTCAGAGATGAGGTGAAAATGCTGACACAGGAAATGGAGACATGGTTGAACCCACAGAGTGTCCCCAGAAAGCGCCAACCCACGGCCTGGAGCAAGAGAGGAAACTCGAGAGATGAGGGGGTGTGAAGACCACGTTGATTTTGGTCACGTTCCCAGGCCTCATCTTCACGTTCAGGGGGCTTTGGCCCGTGGGCAATGTCAAGGGGACCGTGGCGACCACGGCGCCTGTTCTTGAGGACAGAGCACCTTGCTTGCTCTCCCTCAAGCACCGCTGAGGGCCTTTGTCCCCTGGGGTCTGATTTCAGGTCATCGAGGCCGTCATTGAGAAGCACAAACAGAACAGCCAGACCTTCAAGGCCTTCAGCGCCTCCTTCAGCCAGGACAGAGACCCCTGCCTGACTCCAGACCTGCCTGTGAGTGCCAGAGCCCGGGGGTCGTGGGCAGGACCTCCTGCCTGCCTCCCGAGTCTCACTCGGATGGGTGCGTGGCCACAGGGAGCCAGCGCCCATCACAGCTGCTCAGCCCTTTCCACAAGGGCTGGCGACAGGGAGGGCGCTGCCCTCAGCCCCAGTTACTCTCATGCCCAGGACGAGGGGCTGGCAGACAGGCGCACACCCACTGCCCACTCTGCAGTTCCTGTGTGGGGACCACCGCGCTGCCAGGCCGCTCTCAGGCTCAGGAAGGAAGGGCGGGCCTGGGCGGGGCGCGGCTGCGGCTCCTCACGTGACCTGGGGCACTGTCATCTTGTCAGCTCACTCCTTCCCAGGCAGAGCCACCCGGCTCAGTCGGAGTCAGGGCTGTAGTCCTCCCTTGTCCCCTGGGGCCACCTGGGGCCTCAGCCACTTCCTCTGTCTGGGCCTCAGAGTGAGGTGACCTTACTCCGTGCTTCCCATCAGGGGCGTCCCTGAAGCGAATGGGCACCCAGCCTGGCCCAACGCGCAGCCCCGAGACCCGGACGTCAGGCCGGGCTGGTCTTTGCTGCGGCCTGCCTGGGTCTGCAGCCTGCAGGCCACCTCGTTAGCCGCTTATTTTCATCAAACCTACTTGTTTTTTTCTGCTTTCTGGACTATTTTGAAAGAAAACGGGCAGGCCCAGAGCATTCCACAGGGACGCCTGAGGGAGGAGCCGGAACGAGGGCCGCCTTTCTTCGGGGGCTGTGATGGGCAGGCGGGGGGTTGGGGTGACCCGACACTGCACTGGGCTGAGCGTGTGGCCATGGAGCCTGCCTCACCCAGCTGTCTCTGTCCCTTCCAGACAGCGAGTGCCAGCTCCGAGGAGCCCGCGGCGGCTGCTGACGGGAGAGGGGGTGCTGCCGAGGTGAGTGGCTGCAGCAGAGGCGGGGGACAGGCTAGGGTGGCCTGGAGGGTGACGTCAGACCACGGTGACCTGTGTGACCCAGTGTGATGCTGCTGGGGCCTGCTGGTGGAGGGTGGGGAGGACTCACTGACACCTGACTGTCCATGTCCTCAGTGGGTGGAGGTCCCGGCCCCTTCTGGAGGCCTCAGCTCTCCACTGCATCTGAAATGTGCTGAATCGATGGGAATCAAGGCCGTTCCCACCCTTCAGGGCTCCATCCTCCAGGGAGGAAAGAGCAGCCGTGGAAGGGGTTTAGGCGGGCACCCAGGAGGAGGGCCTGCAGGGCGCGCTCAGGGAAGGCTTCTTGGAAGTGGCACCGGTCGGGTCTGTGGGGCCCAGCAGGATGGAGGGAGGCTCTCACTGCAGGCCCAGGAGGGTGGGTCCAGGGAGACAGCTGTACCCAGCACCCCTGTCCTGAGCCTGGGCAGTGCAGGGGGCAGGCACCTCCACGCTCCTTTCTGGACCCGCTAGGAACACCAGGGAAGCAGCCCGCACACTCAGGCATCAGCACTGACTGCCCCGAGCAGATAGGCAGGGCCTCTGCACCTCCGCGCATGTGCGTAGGCCCTCCGCCCGCCACGCTGTCCTTCGCCAGGGCTGGTGCCTCTGTCGTGCCTGCTCTGTCGAGACAGCTCGGCCGGGGAGCTGCGCTGGACCCGCCCACGCAGGGCCCTCGACCATCCAGCCCTGGAGGGCTGTGTGCACCTACTCTTTGTTGGGGCGCCCTCCCCAGGCGAGCCACAGGCAGCTGGGGACACAGGGAAGTGGTGCCCTGGGCTGCATGGCCAGAGGCTGGCTGGGGAGGCGCTGCCCCCAGGCAGGGAGAGAGGAGCAGGGGGTGGGGCTGGTGGAGAAGGTTCTAGATGCAAGGGACCTGAAGGCCAGGTTTTAAATATTATAACTTGTCGAGTGGGGTCTCGGCTAGACCTTCCCATCGACTGCACCTGTCCCTGGGCAGGGACATGAGGGAGAAGCCTAGCCGGTCACCCTAGTGCCCCTCCAACTGGTCGCCCAGCTCCTTTGGGGGTGAGGAGTTTGGGGGTCCGCCCAGCAGAGCTGCTGGTGGAGATGGCCACGCTGGTCCAGGTGGGTGCGCAGCCTCCCTGCCATCGCCTGCCCAGGCTCCGCCTTCCACGGGCTCTAGGTCACAATTCAAGTTCAGGTCTCCTTGTCCCCGACCTTTTCCCCAAGTTGGGACTGGCCCCCAACACAGGCGAACAAACAGCAACAGACAACCAGCCTGGGCCCCGGCGCACGTGGCCAGGCCACGTTCTCCCAGCGACGTCTCCCGTGAGCAGAGATGTCGGTGGACTTGGGCAACTCAAAGTGCGCCCAGCGCTGGCCTCGCGGGGCGAGACCCAGACACGCTCCGTGGACGTCTGTAGGAGACACTCAGGAGTGGGCTGCAATTCTCACACCCAAGAAAGAGCCAGCCGCCTTTGCTCCAGTCTGCCGGACGTGAGCTTTCTCACGGCACATTCGAGAGGAAAAGTGAGCCCGTCCGCGGTGCTGGTCTGAGGTCCTGGCGCCCACAGGTGCACAGCTCCCAGAGCCCCCAGGGAGCCCCCCCCCAGGAAGCCCTGCAAGGTGGCCTCCCACGGTCCGGAACCTCCGCACCCTGCCTGTTGCGTGGCTCTTTGTGGGAGCACAGAAACATCACAGTGCAACCCCCCACCCTGGGCCCAGACCCACCATGTGACGCAGGGACCCCTCCCTGGCGCTCAGTGAACTTCTGCCATAGCACCCGAACGTCCTGGGCCGCACAAAGCTGGCGCTGCCCTCTTCCCCTCGCCCACCGCCAGGGTCCTGGGTGCAGCTGTCTGAGGGGCAGAGGGCCGGCCTGAGCCGGGCTGTCCACGCCTGCAGGACCCGAGGCTGGCTGTGGGGCCCCTCAGTGCTGGCTGCCAGGCAACCCTTGGGACCTGATTCTTCCTGAAAGCTCCTCGCACTTCCCTCCTGTGGAACTGGATTTGCCGAAGAGAAAACGCTGCTGAGCGAGAGGGCCCCCCCATCCCTGGCACCACGGGCGCTTTGGGTGGCTTGCTAGGCCGCACTTCCCGGAGAAGACTTGGCCCGGCCTTTCCCTAGCTTGACATCCAAATGGAAAATATGAGTGGCTCCCTTTGGTCAACCTGTCAGAGAGCCTTGTCCAGGAAGTGTGGTTGGCCAGGAAGACTGTGCCTGAGATGCTGCTGGGCTCCCTGCCCCTTGTCCACGTGGTCACCAGCCGCTCGCCAGTCCTGCCAGGTGCCAGGAACTGCCTTTGGGAGTTGCCTCGAGGGTGTGCCACAGTGCTCAGCTCCCAGGAGGCTGGCATCTGGCCAGGGCCCCTCTGGGCGCCTGGCTCAGCTCAGCGGCTGCCATCGGTTTGTGGGAAGACTTCCCTGGCAAAGTTCACCAGGTGGGACTCTGCTCCCAACCCCACCCCCAGCCACTCTGCTCCAGGAACTGCCCTCTGTCCTGGCCACCAGGGGCCACACTTCTGGCACACAGCCCACCATCCACTCTTCCCCATCTCGGGGAGGGGCCCTGTACCCCTCCGTCCCCTGGGGACACGTGTCGGGCCCACGGCCTGTGTTCTCGACTGTCACGCAGTGCTGCCCAGGGCCCGAGGGCTGTGGCTCTCCTTTGGCGCGCGTCTGGGCTCACAGGCAGAAAGGTGGGTCCAGCCACCCCCTTCCCCTGGCCTCCTGTGTTCTCACCTGCAAAGCAGGGACGGTGGAGTCACCCCGAAGCCCACTGGAGGGCAGGGGCTGCCTGGCCATGGCGGACCCCCAGATGGTCCTGCGTCCCCTCTCCTTCCCTTCCCCAGGCTTCAAGCCCCTCCCTCCCCTCTCTTCTCTTATCTGGTCCCCAACAGTCCTGAGAGATGGTCTCCAGGGAAGGAGCCCTGAGCAGGTGAGGGGCTTCAGTGTGGCCTCGGGGGCACAAGGCTGTGAGAAGCACAGCTTTAGCTGACAGTGTCTGTGGTGTCCAGTCGACCTCGGCAGGTCCTCTGTAGGAGGAACTGAGGGGCGCCCCAGAGCTGACATGGAAGAGGAGCTGGGGCCTGGGGCAGACCAAGCCTCTTCTCGACTCAGAGGGAGCAGCCTGCCTGGGCCCCTCGTGCCCGGCGGGTGCAGTCCTCAGAGTGGCGGGGCCCGCGGGGTCGGGGCAGGGCGCGGAGGCCGCACAGCCGGGCCGCACAGGTCAGAACTTGCCGCAGAGTATCCGCAGGGGTCAGCTCTGGCTCTGTAACCGACACCACAGACCAGGCCACCTAGGCCACCGCCTGTGCTCTCCCTGCTCTGGACGCCGGAGGTGGCTCCTGGCCCAGTGGGCGGGCTTGGTGCGGACACCCCCACCCCGGACTTGGGGCCTCTGTGCAGATCGGCCGCCATCTCTCAGCGTGGCTCGGGGTTCTCTCTCTAGCCACCTGGGTTAAATCACCGCCTCCTGCAGGCCCGGGCACCCAGGCATAGAGTTCGGATCCTGTGACAGCAGGGGTCTCCGGGGAGAGGCAGGGCGGCCATGGTCCATGGCTTGTCCACCTCCGGCCTTTCCATGCTGCGTGGGTTCCCATGTATCACAAAGCTGCCCCCCCTGTGCGGAGCTGACTGCTGCCGTCTGACTCCCGTAGCAGGAGCCCAGGAGAGGGTCCTCGAAGATCAGGCGTGACAAGGAGAAACCAGGCTGCAGGAGCTGCGGTGAGACCTTCAACTCGATCACCAAGAGGAGGCACCACTGCAGGCTGTGTGCGGCGGTGAGTCTGGGCAGGTGGAGGCTGGTCCTGGGCGGCCGCCTTTTCCTCGCCCTCTGGGGCTCATCCTTCTGGGCGAGCAGATGCCAGCCCAGGGTCCCGCCCTCTGGAGAGGCGCGTGGCGCCTGTGGCCAGAGGAGGAACCCTTTCCTTCGCCTGTCGTCTCGGATGGCCTGGTGGTCCTTCCAGCCTCTTCCAGGACAGTCTGTGGTCCCCGGGAGGGAGGCTCACAGGTGTCCTCTGCCTGGCAGGTCATCTGCGGGAAGTGCTCCGAGTTCAAGGCAGAGAACGGCAGGCAGAGCCGAGTCTGCCGAGAGTGTTTCCTGACACAGCCAGTGGGCCCCGCACGCCCCAGCCCTGAGGTGCCCGCTGAGCCCAAGCCGAGCGTGGAGGCGAGTACCCTGTGACCTCTGAGACATGATCTCCCCCTCCCCGTGCCTTGGCTTCCCAGGGACCAGGACTGGGGTCCATGAGGCCCGCGGGGGCTGCAGCAGTCAGCCGTGGGACGCCCAGTGCCATGCCTGGGTGTGGGGCTTCGCACGGTCTGGTCACAGCTGAGGCTGGGAAGACTGGCTCCCAGGAGTCAGACGGTGTGTTAGTCAGCTCAGGTCGTGGGACAGATACTACAAGCAGAAGTTTATGGCCTCAAGTCCCGGAGGCTGAAGTCCAAGATCAAGATGTGGGCAGGGCTGGCTTTTCCTGACCTCTCTGTGGCTGGCAGACAGACGTCGGTCCCTGTGTCCTCATGGTCGTCCCTCCGTGGGGGTCTGTGTCTTAACCTCCTTATAAGGACACCCATCACATTGGATTGGGGCCCACCCTAGTGACCTCATTTTGACTTAATCATCTCCCTAAAGGCCCCATTTCCAAATATGGTCACACCGGGGATCAGGGCCGCAGCACATGGATTTGGGGGCACACAATTCAGCTAGGAGCAGACGGAACAAGCGTCATTGTCATTTACCACCGCTGTGACTGCAGGCTGGCGGGGGGGGGGGGGGCGTGCCTGTGCCCCAAGGAGGCCACGGAGGGCCGGAAACAGGGAAGGCACAGCCCCCTCCTCACCCCACCCTCCTGAGCGTAGCCACTGCCTTGGCGGCCCCTTCCAGGCACAGTTCTTATTTTATGGCAGGAAGGATGGGAAAGACAGTGTGTGGCTTTCCAAAAAAGAGAATTTTCTGTCCTCTGCACATAACTCCATCTGTGGTCCTGACATCAGATTCTAGTTGGGGCCTCCTGGGAAGCTGTTTGAAATATTGTTGTAGGAGGGTGGTCCAAGCAGGCCGCAGCTGTGACAGCCCCGAGTGTCTGTCAGAGGCCAATGTGCACACGATCAGAACAAGTGTAGGGTGATGTCAGCAAAGGAGCCCCCTCACGGCCCTGCACTTCCAGCACTGCGTGTCCGCGAGACCCAGGGCTGAGCACGGGCCAGCTGTGCCAGGTGTGTGAGGTGCTTCCAGATGGCACAGGACTGTGTCCATGACTGCTCTAAGCACGCCAGAGAGAGGGGGGTGTGCGTGGGTGGGGGTGTGGATGGGTATGCGTATGGTTGTGTGTGTGTGCATGAGTGTGTGTGTGGATGGGTATGCGTATGACTGTGTGTGTGCATGAGTGTGTGTGTGGATGGGTATGCGTATGACTATGTGCGTGAGTGTGTGTGTGGATGGGTATGCGTATGACTGTGTGTGCATGAGTGTGTGTGTGGATGGGTATGACTGTGTGTGTGTGCGTGAGTGTGTGTGTGGATGGGTATGCATATGACTGTGTGTGTGTGGATGGGTATGCGTATGACTGTGTGTGCATGAGTGTGTGTGTGGATGGGTATGCGTATGACTATGTGTGTGAGTGTGTGTGTGGATGGGTATGACTGTGTGTGTGTGCGTGAGTGTGTGTGTGGATGGGTATGCATATGACTGTGTGTGTGAGTGAGTGTGTGTGTGGATGGGTATGCATATGACTGTGTGTGTGCATGAGTGTGCGTGAATGTGTGTGGGGGTGAATGTGCATGTGTGTGTGTGGTGTATGTGAGCATGTGTGCACATGTGTGTGGTGTATGTGAGCGTGTGTGCGAACAGCTGAATCACTCCCAGCCCTTCCCTGGGGAGCTGCACCCTGGCTCTTGCTGTTTGATTGTTTCCTGTTTCATATCTGTCCTTGCCCCACTGTGGCTTCATTCCTGGCCGCCCCGAGTCACTCCTCTGGTGCCCGCTGGTGGACGACGGTGTGGTGATGCTAGGACCCCAGCGGCCGGAGCTGACTCTCCTCTCCTTCGCTGCAGGACGCTGGGCCGCCGTGTGCCGGCCCCCTCTCTGGTGGCACGGTGAGTGTGCCGGACCTGGCGGAAAGGCTGGGTGCCGAGCACATGTGAGAGCCGTGGGCCAGCATCCTGTGCCCGAGTACCGTCCACTGCGCTGCAGCCGTGGTGGCCGGGGGCCTGGAGCATGGTCACCATGGGGACCTGGCCCAGGCCAGCCCCGGGGGCCCTGGAGCCGCTGGCCCTGGTGGACCCATGAGCTGAGTCTCGGCCATATCTCTGGTCCTGCAGCTGCCACAGCAGGGCCTGTGCTCTTCTGAGAGGTGACCAGGGAGGTGAAGTGTGCCCCCCCTGCTGAGGGGCTGACAGGACACTTGACCCTCTGCTTCGAGAGGAGGACACTGAGGCCCAGAGAGGGTGGCCACTTGTCCAGGGTCACCCAGCACATCTTGGGAAGAGCTCAGACACAGCAGTGTGGCTTGGGAAGGGACAGGAGGTGACTGTGAAGTAAGCCCCATCTGTGGGGGTTCTGGAAGGCAGAAGGAATGTCATGGACTGTGCCCCGGGACACCTGGCAGCTGTACTGTCCTCCTGGCCACTGTCCTCCTGTCTGCACCACCTATACCGTGTACACTGAGCCTGACCGTCCCCAGACTCCACCCCCTCTTCTGTGTGCTGGCTACTGGCGCCCCACCGCCCCCTGGCTGCTCCCAGAGCACCTCCCGTGCAGAGCCCTCGCAGGACAGGGCGGATGGTGGGCCTGGGCTCACCAGGTGGATTCGCTGCTCCTGAGGCCTGACTGGGAGCCTGGCTGGGAGGCCCCGTTGTCACTCAGGGCCTGGGAGTAATTCCTGGGGGGTGGGGGCAGGGCTTGTCTGCAGAAATAAACGCTGGCAGCCTGTAGGAGAGCACTAGCTCAGTTCAGACTCCCCACGTTGGCCCCTGGTGGTTGGGTCGGGGACGAGGGGACAGAAGGGCCCAGTGACCGTCCCGTGGGGCGTACATCCCAGGGTGAAAGGGAGCCAGACGGCCGGGCCTCAGGCCAGGTGCGGCTCCTGAAGACGGGCTCTCTGTCCCTGTGAGGTGGAGGGTGGACAGGGCTGTGCCCATGTAGGGACAGGATCACGGTGGGGACGTTCACAGAGAAGGTAGGCGGTCATGGTGGGGGATGGTTCCTGTTTACACTTGAGCTCCAAGGGCCTTAGGAGAGAAAGGAAGGATTTAGGGACGATGACCAAAGAGTGTCCAGTCCCTGGGGACCCTCTCCCCCTAGGAGATGCCTGTCCGTGCCCAGCCATGGGCACACTCTCGGGGTGCTATCTGAGGTGCTAGAGGGCAGTGTGGGAGCCAGAAATGGGCATCTGATCATGGGTGAGAACGTGGCAGGGCCCAGGTGAGCCAGCACCCCACGGGGCCCGCCCAGCTGAGCCCAGATGCTGCAGTGGCCACACACCTGTTGTATGTCCGGGCCTCAGGCCCGGGTCTGAGCACTCGCCGCTCTGCGCAGGTGTCCTGGCCTGCCTGGCGTCAAGCACTTGCCCACCAGGAGGGCAGGCCAGCCCCTCCCAGCCCTGGCCAGGCTCCTGCAAGGGACACAGCAGAGCCTCTCACCGTGGGTGGGGGCAGGGATGGTGGGCGACAGAGACCACACTGGGCAGTCTCTCCCAACCCCAGCATGCTCCCATTGGACAGCGGAGGAAACTGAGTCACAGAGAGGAGGCCATGACGGTCCCACAGCTTCAGCCTGAGGTGGAGCCAGAGGGACACGCTGGGCATGGCAGCTCTTCGCGGGGGTCTGCCCGGCAGGACGGCACCCCTACCCGAGGCCCCACCGCTGGTCTCCCGGGGCTCTCTGCACCGTGGATGCCCCGGCCCCTCCATCTGGCCCCCCTCACCCCACCCCACACACAGGTTCCGCAGTGGTCTCCGGGCTCCTTCCCTCCGGCACACGGGAGGGCAGGCACGGGAGGCACTGTGCCCCAGGCCAGCCTCGGGGGTGGGAACGGGAGGCCTCCCCATGAGCTGTGGCTGCAATAGGATGAGAAACGACACCCTCCTGCCGATTCCGGTCTGGGCCGCACTGCGGTCCTTCTCGTGGAGACACACCGAGAAGTGACGGTCAGCCTTCGGAAAGAGCGCCCGGGCTGGGGAGGGACAGAGGCAGGGAAGGGGCAGACCCCTGGGAGTTCGCCCGGCCTGGACGGGCCAGTGGGAGGAGCAGTGTGGGCCGAGGGGCAGTGGGGCCTGGCCATGGGGCTCCACAGGGGTCCCTCCTTTGGCGTTGCTGAAAGAGGGCAGCTAAGCCAATGTGGGGACACCCCCACCCACTGTCCCCACGCAGGCAGGAACCTGTGGGCTGGGGCTTCAGCTTTTCAAGAGATGAAAGAAACTCAGTTGTTCTTATGAAATGTCCTGATGGATATTAGCAACTATTGCAAAATCTGAAATCTTGAGGTGGGCAGCTGCTAGGCACCTCAAAAGTGGGGACAGGACACATGCCCCAGGTGGACACTGAGCCCCAGGGCCCATGCCCGTGGACAGCCAAGGTCTGAACTCATTTGGCCACAGGCTGTCGTGGAAGCTGGGCTCAGAGCGGCGGTGAAGTTCTGCAGCCTCACGAGGCCCAGCGCCGCGCCTGTGGGCTGTCCTCCTGGGGGCATGGCTCCCCTGGACGGGGAGGGCTGTGGAGGGCAGGCTTCCCATCCCAGGGGCCCCACACAGCCCACCTCATCGGCTCCCGCTCCTCCTGTGCCGCAGGAGTCAGGGGCTTGAGGCAGGGGCTGCTGCCTGCCCAGCCTGTCGGCCAGGTGGCCCCAGCAGCAGGCCCGGGAGCTGTGTCGGAGCACAGTGTGACCCGAGAAGAAGGGTTTTCACAGGCGTGAGAACAGACAGGAAAGAAAGGGGAACGGAAGTGCAGAGTGAGGGGCTCTGTGGCGAAGTTCTGCCTGGTGGTCAGAGCAGCCCAGGCTCCCATCACGGGTTCCAGGGGGTTGCTGACCTCTCTGCCAGGGGAGAACACACCCCCCTGGGCCAAGAGCAGGTGCCGGTTGTGCCCCCCACAGTCCTGGGAAGAGGAAGGAGCCAGCATCCCTGGGTGTCCTGCAGCCAGGGCCCAGCACCCGCTGCGAAGAGCTGACCCAGAGCACATCTCAGCAGTGGTGGTGCTGAGGCCCAGAGAGGGAAAGACGCTTGCCCGAGATCACACAGTGACTGCAGGACCCAGCAGGAGTCCCCGTGGACTCTCCGTCCGTTTGTTCATGCGGCCAGCACTGCTACCACACCTGCCGCCTGCCAGGCGCTGGGGGCCGGCCACCTGGGTTTCTGGGACTGCGGGGTCAGGCGATGCCCTGCCACTCTGCCAGCCTCGTTTTCTCCAGCTCCATCCCCACCCAGGTCACCGGGCTCTGACCAGTGGGCTTTAGAACACACGAGCTCCTTGCCACCCCAGGGCCTTTGCACGTGTTGTTCATCACTCTCCCTACAGGTCTTTGCAACATTCCTTGGTGTCAGCAGAGAGCCCTCCCCCGGTCTCTCCACTTTGAGTTTGGGTGTTTGCCCTCTGGTCTAGCCTCTCCCCGTCTAGAACAGAAGCGCTGAGGGCAGGACGCAGCACCTACAACAGTGCCTGGCACGTGGAAGGTGACTGTGTGCCAACAGCCGTGCGACCCGAGCACCTCAGGCCTGGAGCCCTCATTCTACAGCTGGGGAACTCGGACAGAGGCGGTGGTGGCCTGGGTTGTAAGACCCCGTGCTCCCTGGACTCCCCAAGGTCCCCAGGTCTCAGGGACCCAGAACCAGCTCCTCCTCAGACACCTGGTCCCCTTGCAGAGATCAGCACAGTGAGACCCAGAGGAGCTGCCATAACACTGGCAGAGGGGCATCTGGACCGAGGTGGCTCGACCGCAGCTGTGCCCATTCAGCACCCTCCCAGAAGACACAGGACTCCACTGTGCACCGTGAGGTGGCAGGACAAGCCCCTAGTCCCAACTTACCCCGACCTTAGGGACTTGGGCCCTCCCCCTCCCCCAGCTGCTCTAGGGGCTCCCTGGTGCTGGGCATCCAGGGAGCGGGGAGGGCTGGCCTTGCCCAGAGGTGCCTGGAACGTGTCTGGGTGAGCCCTCTGGGGGCGCCACCTGAGTACTGAGGGGTTCTAGGTAATCCCAAGGGGCCTCAGGTGATCCCTGGGGGTTCCAGGTGAACCTGAGGGGCTCTATGTGGTTCTAAGGGTCTCCAGGTGGTCCTGAGGGGCTCCAGGTAGTCCCTGAGGGGCTCCAACTAGTCCCTAAGGGGCTCCAGGTGGTCCCTGAGGG